TACTCATGTTAAAAAAATCACCCTTTTCTGAATGTTCAATTTATAATTTTTAGAGTGTTTGATTCCTTCACCATAAATGAAAAGAATTATGAAAGATTGTTGTCGAAAGTCGCTTCACCATCGACACTACATACTTCTACACAAGTCAAATACTTTGGATTACACCTACATTGTAGACTAACCTTCTTAACACCCTATCCCTACATAATATAACCTAATCCGTCATGACCCTAACCCTAGCCCTACATAACCTACCTTACACCAACCCTATCCCTACATAACCTAGCTAATTAGTCTCTAACACTAACCCTATCCCTACATAATTTAGCCTAATTCGTCTCTAACACTAACCCTATCCCTACATAATCTAACTTAATCCGGCTCTGACTCTATCCCTTACCCTACTTAACCTAATTCGTCGGTAACACTAACCCTATATAACCTAACCTAATTCGTCTCTAACACTAACGCTAACCTTACCTAACCTTACCTAACCTAAACCAACCTATGGCCTCCTCGGTAACTTAAAATAAATTTCGGGAAATTCATCTAGACTAACCTTCCTAACACCCTATTCCTACATAATCTAACCTAATCCGTCACTGATCCTAACCCTACCCCAAAATAACCTACTTAACACCAACCCTATCCCTACATAACCTAGCTAATTCGTCCCTAACACTAACCCTAAGCCTACATAATCTGGCATAATTCGTCTCTAACACCAACCCTATCCCTACATAACCTAGCTAATTCGTATCTAACACTAACCCTAATCCTGCATAATCTAACCTAATCCATCTCTGGCACTAACCCTTACCCTACTTAACCTAATTCGTCTGTAACACTAACCCTAATATCCTAACCTTATTCGTCTCTAACACTAACGTTAACCTTACCTAACCTAAACCAACCTATATGCCTTCCCGGTAACTTAAAATAAATTTCGGTAAATTCCCACGTAAAAAATTTGTATTTTCAGCCAACAAATGTTAAGAAAAAAATCACATTTTTATTAAAGTAAAATATTGACATACTAAGTACCCGAATTGGCTTACTAAAAATAGTTATATAAACAGATTTTTTTTCGGGAATTTTGTAGTTATTTTCTACAATTCTTCAAGGTGAGCACGAGTTTGAACTGACTGAGGCACCGAGAATTGTTCGGATTAGAAAAACTTCGTACTAGCTGAATAACTTTAATAATGCACTAGGTAGGTTACAGGTCTAAAAGACACGCCGGAGAAAGATAAGCTGAAAGTTTTGCACAAAAAAATAAGACAAGTGAGATGAGTAAAGTTAAATAGTTTCGAAACATTTTGATCAATCTATCCTCGCAATTTTGGCCTGTTGTGCGTTCGGTTTTCGACATCTTCAGTTTTTAATTATAATTATGGTTAAAACACAGCAACGAAGAAGCCAAGCCCAAACGCGCCTGACAGTCCAAACTGGCCCACCACTACGCAGACCTCACAATTTTAGGACGAAAATACATCTATTATTCGCCAGTAGAATTTGGAATGGGCAAATTAATAACATTTATATCTAAGAAAACTACATTTTTTAAACAAAAATTTCTTCCCCATAGACTGAAAAAGGATCGGATTAGACGGACATTAGGATTATCGGGCCTCCACTGTATTTGACATTCCGCTGCGCAGGAGAGCTATTGATGTTTAGGATGTGACACGTTTCTTTTTAAAGAAGTCCTGGTGACGCAATTCTCTTAATCCGGATCTCAGGTGGGAGAAGGAGACGAATCAAGCGTTTCCTTCGAGGCTTCGTCGCAGAATCCTTAACGCCTTGTTGAAACGTCAATTTATTTTATTTTCACCACGTCATCGTCAGACTTGAAAGAAGAACAGAAATAGTACCGTCCTTGCGAAAAATAAACCCGAGTCAACCGGGCCACGGACGTCACATAGAACATCTTACCTTAGTAATCGATATTTCGGAACGCAATTAATTCCTTTGTCTCGTCTAGCATTGTTTTAATTATAAGGACGCAGAAATTTTGATCATAATGAACCTTAATATTGTAGATCTAGATAGAAAAAAAAGTAGAGCATGGATATTAGTTTCACAGTAGTGTCCTGTGGCCTGGAATCAGGATCTAATAGCATATATCATTTTATCCTTTCTTCCTCAGCTACCTTGATGCATTACATAATTACAGTTTATACCGCGAATTCCGCGAATTGATTTATTCGGTTAGGCATTGACAGATTCTTAAGTTCCTACATACACTGATTTAAAAGCAACTTTGCATTTCCCCGGAGCGTTCAACTGTTTTGAAAATACATCACACGTCAAGCGCGAGAAATTTAAGTTGAAAAAAAAAAATCTTCCAGTAAGGTAAAGTCTCAACAGAAAAGGAGGATTTAGATACAACCAGTCCTATAAATCTGAACGACAGAGGCGTTGCGCAATTTCCTACATGGTGGACAACGCCTTATCAGGATGTCCTGGCCGAATAAAATGTTTAAAATCCTCCTGCTACGATTAATTTAATATAATAAAATTTATTTATATTTAATTTAATAAAATCGATTTTTGGATCTACGCTATAGATGTAATTTTTTTATGTTTTATAAGTGTAGAATAGCATGCCTTCGAACCTGCACCTTTTATTGTTTATATCATCAATATTTACTTTTGTGGACGAACGAACGATAGAAAAAGGAGGGAGAGAGAGTGATAGAGAGAGAGAGAGTGACAGAGAGAGGGATATTGCGAGAGAAATTGTATAGGATCGAGACTGATATGGTTAGGTAGAGGGAGATATAGAAATATAGATAGATAGAAAGATAGAGATAGAAATAGCAAAGTAGAGGAGTGAGAGAACTATATGGATAGTTAAACTATACTGATATATTTGGACAGAGTTAGATGTAGAAATATAGATAGATAGAAAGATAGAGATAGAAATAGCAAAGTAGAGGAGTGAGAGAACTATATGGATAGTTAAACTATACTGATATATTTGGACAGAGTTAGATGTAGAAATATAGATAGATAGAAACAGAGATAGATAGATGAAAGAGGGATGCTTCGAGAGCAGGAGAGTTAGAAAGATAGACTGTGGGATAACGCAATGATAGACGGATAAGTAGATGGTTAGAGAATAAGTGAGGGAGTGAGAGTGAGAGAGAGTGATAATGCAAGAGAAATAGTTTTAAAGGACGGAGACTTATACAGGGTGAATTGCTACTCGTGCTACAAACTTCTCCAGTAGATTCTTCACCCTAAAATGAACAAAAAAGTTCATATTGTCCATGGTCCGATTCTCAACCATTTCAGAGTAATTTCGCTTTTTATCGATTTTGAAAGATATCACGTCCTGGCGTCGGAAAATCGTGATATCTTTTAATCTAAACATTTCTCTGAAAATCTAATAGCACCGTTGAAATTCCCGTTAATTTTTCAATAAGAAGATGACGGTGGCAAAATGTTTGGGCTAATTTTTTGTGTTTTATTTCAGCCAGAACTACAAAAAGAGTGGAAAATTGTGTAAATCGGAAAGTGTATAAAGTAATCCAGAGTTTCTAATTTTAGTCTCAGAAGGCAGCAAATTTGAGGAAAACTACCTGATTTAATAACGCTTCCAACGCACTCGTCATTTTCTTATTTAGTGGTTGTGAGACCAAGATGTTGATGACAAAAAGAGAAAAAATGGTGGTTCAAGGATTGCTAATGTTTGAGAGTGACTTGCTACTCGTGCTACAAACTTCACCAGTAGATTCTTGACCCTAAAATGAACAAAAAAGTTCATATTGACCATGGTCCGATTCTCAACCATTTCAGAGTAATTTCGCTTTTTATCGATTTTGAAAGATATCACGTCCTGGCGTCGGAAAATCGTGATATCTTTTAATCTAAACATTTCTCTTAAAATCTATAAGCACCGTTGAAATCCCCGTTAATTTTTCAATAAGAAGATGAAGGTGGCAAAACGTTTGGGTCTTTCTTCCTTGACCTTCTAGCTGTTTGTAAACTTCTTAAGCATTACATACTAAATGGGCATTAAATTAAATTAAAAAATTTCAATGGAATTATGATTTTGATTCTCTCTAAAAATTAACGGGGATTTCAACGGTGCTTATAGATTTTAAGAGAAATGTTTAGATTAAAAGATATCACGATTTTCCGACGCCAGGACGTGATATCTTTCAAAATCGATAAAAAGCGAAATTACTCTGAAATGGTTGAGAATCGGACCATGGACAATATGAACTTTTTTGTTCATTTTAGGGTGAACAATCTACTGGAGAAGTTTGTAGCACGAGTAGCAATTCACCCTGTATAGTTGGTTACAGCAAAAGTTAGAAAGATAGATAGATAGACATAGAAATAAATAGACAGAGGAGAGAGATTGATATAGTTAGGTAGAGCAAGAGGTAGAAATATATTGTTAGGCAGGTGAATAGATGTAGAGAAATAGAGAAGGAAAGAGTGAGAGGATAAGAAATACGGAGATATATGAAGAAAGAGAGAAACACAAAAAGAGAGAATGTACGGAATAGGGAAAGAAAGAACATAAGTAGTAGTGAGAGATGGAGAGAGACAGAGAGAGAGAGAGAGAGAGAGAGAGAGAGAGAGAGAGAGAGAACACAAGATCCTCACAATATGAACCAATGGATCAAATCCATGCTCTTAATTTACTGATTTTCTATAAAATTTTCTTAGGCTAGTAATACATTGGTTCTTGATAAAAGTCATCTTAATTAAATAATTGCTAACACAAATGCTTTCCTAACCCAAAGATTACCGCAAAACAACCATTACCGTTTATACTTGAACTCAAACATTATCATGTGCTTAATGGGTAAGCCATTGAAAGAAAAGATTGTTTCACAACCGAAGTAATTTAAAAATGTAAAAGGTAATGATTAACGATCTGTAATTATCCGGTTGACGGTTGAACACCAGGAGCAGACGGAGGAACTGTTTGTATTCAAATGTTCGCCTATTGCAACCGGGGAAGTTGTAAAAGAAAGACAATGGGGAAATTATTCTGTAAATTCCTTTCTGATTTGCATATCTCTAATCGTACAATTTAATCATAAAGGTTTATTTTTGTTTTTTTAGATTGCCAGAAGGTCCTTCTCGTTTACGGCCTCACCAATTTGGGTAAGATGGAAGACGATAGCCTGGACAAAATGGATCCTTACCAAAGAGGCGCCAACGACATAAGTACGTAACCTGGCAAATTTTAATATTTTATTCTTTTGTATTTATACTAAAATTTCTAAATTTTCAATTTCAGTTTGGGAGTCCATGATGCATGGCAGTTACAAAAAGAAAAACACAAATGAGCACAGAGATTACTATGATTCTATGGGTAATTTTTTTTCTTTGTGTGTGTTCTATGCTATTGGCTATTGTTGTGAGATGGGTCAAAATATCTTTGTTTGTCAGTTAATTTACAACCTAGTGCATTTTGAACCAAGTCCTAGTATGATTTCTATGTAACTATTTTTTTTTCTATTTTCAGAGCCTAGTACAGGTGATGACAACCACCTTGGATCCCAGGAGGAAGCTTCAACCAACATTGAAAAGTATGCAGGTTCTGACAATGACCTAGTAGGGCCCATGGTTGTCAGAGTGCTTCCAGATGGCAGCCCCATACCCAGAGACTCTCCTCTCCCTAAGGACGACGATGCCGAGGAATTCATGATCATGAGGAGCAAGCCGATCCCGTCCCTCTCTGAAATTACATCCCTGAGGCACGAAGTCATAGCCACAAGGCTTGACTCTCACACTTCGATGAAAAGATCAAAACATTAACGACCAGCCGGATCCCTTTATTTATTATTCAAACAAAAGTGTGCCCTGTGCTTCATCTCTTTATAATTTGTCATCACTCCAGGCCGACTAAAGTACCCTTCCAAAATTTTAATAAACAAAAGAAGGCTACTGGAAAATATTTAAGTGTACATACTTTACATTGTAAATAAAAACAAATTAGTTTTTAAGTTATTATTTAAATTGTGATAGTTGCTGTCGACTAAACATTATTTTTTATATTTACAAAAATTAAGCAATGTACTCACATTTAAGTACAATCTTTTTTTCTATTATATTTATATAAAGTAGTGTTTATTTAAATTATATACAGTAACTAATTGTTTTCCCACCAAAATTTCACATATGTAAAAAATATACATTATTATTTTGTAATTCAATCATCAAATCTATAGTGCTTAAGTTGAATACAATTTATCCTCATTTTATCTTTTCGATGATAAGATATGTGCTCATAAATAAATGTATCTCATTTTGTAGAATTATTTTTACTTCAACATCCTCCATAATAATTTTCATATTTCCCCCTGTAGATACGTGTAGCACCACATTCTGTTATATGGTGCGTTGGAGTAATTTCTACTTCTTTCCAGAATCTGCACTGTGTTGGATAATGTAAATATTTCTCAAATGCCTTGTTAAGGTGTATCTTCTGTTAAAAAGCAGCCCGTTTTAAGTAAGTAAGGTTTAAATTTAGAACCACTGAAATTCAAAACTGGGACCATTATAGTGATGAGTCACCCTGTTAATCATTGCTGCTATAGATACCTCACAATACAGTTTAACTTACAGTAGTAATAGTTATCACTTTCAGTATTTGGAATTATTTTAACATTGAGGTTTTTTGGCCTGAATGCACTTTTTTTGTTTCCCTTTACATTACGAAGGAGAGAGGTTGGGTTGGGTATGGTTAAGTTGTTAGGTTTTGGGTTAGGGACAAGTGAGTGTACATCCATGATTCAATAGAATGGGGGGGGGATTTGTAATTTACTCTAGGTCATTTCAGCCCCAAACTAAGTCAGTATGTCAATATTCTATTTACACTTTCACACACTACATTCATACAAATAAATACATTCATACAATACACTCATCTGTTTGGTCAGTGGAGTACTTGATATTCCTCCACTGACCTATACTCAAACTAATCTAGATTGGGGTCAATGGAGTACTTTTATAAATATTCTGCCATCGACCCCAAACACACACTCATAAGCTCACAACGTTCGAGGGGCAATGATGACATTATATTGCACCCTCACCCCTCGCTATTCACGCTAATAAATACATGCACTCAGACAAAACATATAGACACAACACGTAAGACATATATACAATAAAAAAAACCAATTTCCCCTAAAAAGCGGAACAGGGGACTCTGAAACTCGCTACCGTGTTCGAGAACTCTTCTTAAGTCCGGCGGCATGCCTACACGCTCTCTGTATGGAGCCAAGGCATGACACGCCACTATTATGTGGGACACATGGAGCAACCTTTCTCTGCATAAGGGGCTTTGACCCAAAAGCAGGTGCCCATGTGTCAACTGAGTATGGCCAATCCTGTCGGGTGAGGGCGATCCCTCGTCTCCTGCTCAGGCTCTCTGAGGGCCATCTACCGGTCATGCTCTTGACTCACAAGAGCCTCTCCGACGATCCTGCCCACTGATGCTGCCATCATTCTTTTATCATATTTTTGACTGCGTGTTTAGCATCAGGGGGCCTCATTGCGATAGTCCGATCCGGAGGGTGGGACGTAGCGACTTTCGCCGCTTTGTCCGCACGTTCGTTACCCTCCAGGCCGACGTGCCCGGGAATCCAAACAACAACCACCATTTTTCCGAGAAGCTTCAGCTCCGCGTATTTCTCTAGCAAGAGCACAAGAGAGGGTCGACAGAGAACCTGTCGTGTACAGCCCAGACAGCGCTCAGAGAGTCGGTACATACAGGTAAGGCTGAGCCCTCCCCGGTCCGCACCGCCTCGAGAGCATGCCAAATCGCATACAACTCTGCCGTGTATATGCTGCAGTGAGGGGGCAACGACCAAAAGGTGGCCACTCCTTCGCTATACACAGCACATGCCACACCATCGCCGGTCTTGGACCCGTCTGTAAAAATCAGACGGAAACCGGCGTATCTATTTCTAAGTTCAAGGAAGCCTTGTAGAGGTATGACGGCGTACACGATTTAGGCAAGTTTGCCAGATTGTCGCGGCCGAGTACAGCTGGAAAGGTCCAGGGGGGTGTCGGCCTCCTCTTCTATTAATTTTAATTAAATTAACTGATATATTCTTGTTAGTTGGATATAACAAAATAGCAAATACAAATCAAAAACGAAGAAATAGAAATGATGAACGACGGAGCGAGTGCGGTGTTCAATCCTTTCTAAAAAATAGTTCCTACTCAGTAAGTTGTTTTGCAATGACCGGATTTCAAGCCCTTAGCTCATCATCAAAGGGCTCGAAATCCAGATTGTTGCAAAACAACTTACTGTGTATAGGAACTATCTTTTTAAAAAAGGTTGAAAACGAAGAAATGTTAATCCTCATTTTTAATAACGAATTTATGTACGAATAATAAACACGAATATTACCAATTTTGTAAGCAAACAACTTTTCTCCATTTTAATCAGTTCTTTTAACCATGGAAAGACATCAGCTTGAGCCAGAAGTTTGCAATATTATTGTGAGAATGAGTCATCGAGGTCACCGGCAAGTGGATATTGCAAAGGTAGTGGGTGTTTCTCAGAGCGTGATCTCCTGGGCTTTAGCCCAAATCTGAGAGACTGGAAGTGTCAATAGGAGGCCTGGTAGTGCATCTTAGTGCATTATGATTTACGACGCCAAGACAGGACAGACATATTGTCATTGTTGCAAGACAGAACACTTTCTGTGGTGCCCGCCATATCTTAAATGAAGTGCAAGATGTTTTGGCAGGTTTTTATCAACACAAACGATTCATAATCGTTTGTAGGATGTTGGCCTCACATTGTATACTCATTTGGGATGACCTGCAGCAAAACCCCACCACCAATAACTAAGGACAAGATGCAGCAAGCACCTAGAAGAGAATACAAATTGGAATGCTGTTATGTTTATTGATGAGTCAGATTTCTGTCTGTATTGTGATAGCAGGCCCTGAAGAGTCAACTCCGAAGGGGATCCATACAATACCCCATGTGCAATTTGAAGGAGGATGTGTAATGGCCTGGACTGGAATTTACGCTGGAGGACAACCGGATTCCATATTGTTGAAGACAACCTTATCACAGTCCGTTATATCCAAGAAATTGTCGAGGAATACATCCCTTAAACCAGGGATCTCATTGACAGGGATTTTCAATTTTTCGATGACAATGACCTCTTGGAGTGAGTACATCAATGTTTAGAAAACTTGGGAATTTCCCATCTGCCCCCTTCCCACATTATCTCCAGACCTCAATCCCATTGAGCACATGTGGGATGCATTGCAGAGAAGGCTTTTTGATCACCGCCCACAGCTAGTGGAGTGAAATTCCTTATGAAATTAGTGACAACCTTATTAACAGTATGCCTAACAGGTACACAGAGGTTTTAGTTAACAGAAAACATTATACACAGTTAATTAAAGTTTTTAGTTGAGATAAAAGTCAATGGTACGAGCGGGATTCGAACCCACGATCTTCGTCTAGATACGCCACTGCTCTACCACTTGAGCTATCGTGACCTCGATCCACTCGGACACTAACTTCCCATCTCAACCCCACCTTTTGAATTTTCCATCCTTTTTGCCATTTGGAATTATACACAGTATTAATTGTTTAAAAAAAATTATTGTGTACTGTACAAACGTACCTTCAACAGGAAAACATCAGGGTCTTAGCCTGGCCAGCCCATTCTCCAGACTTGAATCCCATTGAACATTGATAGGATAACCTCAAAAGATAATACTACAGATGTACATGTCCATCACTTCCTGATCACTCCACGACCTTGAGAAATAGGAGGAAATATGCGATATTGAAATGTTAAAAATCTAATTAAAACAAATGTTATATGTCTATCATTTCTCTCTTTTTTTTTTAATATATAAAAAAATAAAGAACAAAAAAAAATATAAATATATATATATATATATATAAATCAAGTTATATTACAAGTGGATAGGATTTTTTGTCTGTCAGTGTATGTTTTTCTGTGAAGAGAAGAAATATGCAATTTTGCCTAGAAAGATAACCTGTTTAAAAAATCTCGCTTCCGCTATCCCATTCACAAATTGGTCTTTTTTCCGAAAATTTTTGGGTCTTTATTTCTATAATAAAAAAGCAAATCCAACATTTTCACGAAATTTTTTATTACTCTTACTTACCACCATCAGACGAAATGGACATGTCTCTTTTATAGATACACAAACTCATTGTAATTATATGTATCTTAATCTATGATTTTCTTGGTTAATAACAATTATATTTAAATAATACTCATGCTGCAATCTATTAGTATAAATGAGAAACCAAATAGTATGACTTGCGAAAGAAAACTGAACAAAATCTGTGAAAGTACTTCTCACTACTTCAGTACAATAAAAATACCATTGTCTTGTTAATGACGTTTTTAGGAAACTAGAACTAGCTAAGTTAATATTTTCTAAAGCGCAAGCACAGAAGCCTTAATAATCAATAATAATTGCAATAAGGTGGTTGTTTTAATTCTAATTATTATAAATGGACTTATTCCACTTTCAAAACATCTGTTTTTAGGCTAGATACACAATTTTTTGTGATTATCAGGGATTGTGGTTGGGTTAGGTTAGGTTTAGTAGGGTTAGAGGTGGATTAGATTATGTAAAGTCAGTGTTAGATTACATATCCATGATTCTACAAAGCAGAGAAAATATTCTAATACAAAGCACGAATTTTATTATTGAAGCTGTCCAGTTTGAAAAATCTTTACTTCCAGTCTTCCCCTCATCATCCCTCATATCTTAGGTTAGCCTAATTTTCCTAACTTTAGTTATTTTTCTGTTTCTGTATTTACAATTATTTTAATGTGGATATGTATTTGGGGTGGTTAAACATTTTTTTTATTTTTTTTATTATTATTACCAGGGATTGTGGTTGGGTTAGGTTAGGTTTAGTAGGGTTAGAGGCAGATTAGATTATGTAAAGTTAGTGTTAGATTACATATCCATGATTCTACAAAACAGAGAAAATATTCTAATACAAAACACGAATTTTATTATTGAAGCTGTCCAGTTTGAAAAATCTTTACTTCCAGTCTTCCCCTCATCATCCCTCATATCTTAGGTTAGCCTAATTTTCCTAACTTATTAATAGTTATGTTTTTCTGTTTCTGTATTTACAATTATTTTAATGTGGATATGTATTTGGGGTGGTTAAACATTTTTTTTATATTTTTTATTTTTTTATTATTACCAGGGATTGTGGTTGGGTTAGGTTAGGTTTAGTAGGGTTAGAGGTGGATTAGATTATGAAAAGTTAGTGTTAGATTACATATCCATGATTCTACTTAGCAGAGAAAATATTCTAATAAAAAGCACGAATTTTATTATTGAAGCTGTACAGTTTAAAAAATCTTTACTTCCAGTCTCCCCTTCATCATCCCTCATAATCTTAGGTTAGCCTAATTTTCCTAACTTATTAATAGTTACATTTTTCTTTTTCTGTATTTACATTTATTTTAATGTGGATATGTATTTGGGGTGGTTAAATAATTTTTTTGTTTTGTTTTTTTTATTACCAGGGAGTGTGGTTGAGTTAGGGTTAGATTACATACCCATAATTCAATGTTTTTCCGTGATGCAGAGAAAATTGCAAGTGAAGAGAGCGAATTTTGTCTACAATGATGACCAGTTTGGAAAATTTTTACATTCCAGTCTCCACTTCATCATCCTTTGTTATTACAATTTTGCGTACACGTTTCTGATTAAACCAATATGATAACTATGGTTTATGTATCTCGACAAAATTTCTCTTTTATTTTAAACAATGACCATCTCTGAGTTTTTATTCCAGTAACATAAAGAGAATTATTGAATATAAAAGGAATAATCAACAAACATAATCAATATATTTAGTTAACATTAAAACTATACAATCTTAGGCTACAGTTATTTACAGATTTTTTGTGAGTATGAAGTTAATCATTTCTTTTCTTTGCATGAACCATGTTATTTGGTAGGATTGGCTTCGTAGGGTCGTATTTGAATGTCTTCCTTATTGGGCCCCTTCCTGATCTTATAAAATTGATTTCATCAGCTCGCTGCCTGTCTTCAAGTTCTTTTGTGATCTTTAAATTCGTCCAAGCTGAATGTAAATTGTTTATTTTTACTTTGGCTTTAAAATAATGTAAATTGTATTATACAGACTTACATTCTTTGACTCCTTTGACAAAGCCCTCGTCTTTCACAGGTAGTTCTTTCGGATTATGCTTTATCAACTGTTCTATGTTAAAATATTCCCTCACCCGGGGAATCCTGAGAGTGGCGACTTGAAGCAGAGAAATAAAATTCGATGATGCCCAGTAAACAAGTATAGCCTAATTACAAACAACCAAAATTAAAAAAATAAAAAACTTGCAAACATAATCGATATACCGATGGAAAATTGATAGTAAAAGGAAAAACAACAAGTGGAAGTGCTCGTATCAAATATTTGAACAATCCCATATTTGAAGAATTCAGGCGAGCCGTATCTGTGCCAACCTATAAACGAAATTGCTTTAATTTTAAAAAACATAAATGTCATTTTAAAAACTTACTTCAATTGTTATTGCTAAAGTGGCGCAAGTGATTATTGGTAAAAGATAAAACTGATCGGGAACTGTTAAATCTGCAAACCAGTAGAGACCTCCAACTTTTAAGCTTTCCACTGGAAGATTTGCCATCTTTCTTAAGCCCATGAAGAATGAAATAAATAAGGGTGCCTGTAAATTATTTTTATCTTTTAATTTTTTTTTAATGTGGTCACTTAACTTGGAGACATTACCTGCGCTAGTGGGACTAACAAGTTCTTTATAGGATTTAGACCTTTTTCTCTCATAAAAAACATCATTTCGTTGGCATATCTAGCAGCTGAGTCATATATTATTAATTTTTTTTTTAATTGATGGGAAATAGATCACTTACCGTCAAGTCGGTCCCCTCTCTGCCTGGCCTCCGTCAATTTCAACTGAATTAGTTGCATCTCAGGAAGATGGTTGTTCATTTTGGCGGCGTTTCTTTGAGATACGATAACGAGAGGAAACATCAAGGTCCTAACAACAACCGTGCCTGCAAAATATCGTCAATTTTTCTCTGTGCAAATTTGAATTAATAGCCAGTCTCACCGATCACTATTGACCCCCACCATGGCAAATCGCACGTTACATGGAGAAATTCCATGCAATTCTGGATTATGCCGACTGGCGACCAACCTCCCAAGCCTAAACTCTCAAATGTTGGCTCCCCAGCAAGCTAAAATATTTTTTTCTTTTAAATATTAAAAAAAGGGTACAACATTGCAATATAAATATAATAAATAAAATGGTAAATGTACAAGTCCCAACCTTATATATAGATCCAGGCAAGTCCTAGTAACATTGATTTTATTATAAAAGTGCGTTATCAACAGGCACATGAAAAAATGGAAAATTACCTGCGGTACAACTGGGGGCTCAGGAATGACCTTTTGAAACATGATTTTTTAAGTTTGAACATAATAAATAAACAATAAAAACTAGTTGCATACCTCCATTGGAACATTTTCCTGGTGTGTCTGATCCAACAAATAATCAATTTTTATATTACTGTATGTTATGACTACCCTCATTGGGCAACAAGTAACAGTGACTGTAAAAAATAAATAAAGGAGTGGAGGAACTACAAATTGGCACTCCTATGGGCCGTAGGTGTTCACTACTTAATTGAGGTGTTTCACTATCACTCAAAAAAAGATTCTGTGGCCATTGTCATTTTAGTCAGCGAGGAGGGTTGTGAAGTTTGGGAGTGGATTACATCTTTAGCAAAACAAATATTTAATTCTATAAGGGTAGTTTCGTTGGATACATAGCATGAAGGATTTTTCTGAGGATTATACATTGGGCTCTTCGGATGTGGAGGATACTGGAATGTTTGGCTGAACCCCACACTTCCAGACCATAAGGGCTTCATAATGGTGTTATAAATAGAACATGAAAAATGGCAAAAAGGAGGGAAAATTCAAAAGGTGGGGTTGAGATGGGAAGTTAGTCCAAGTGGATTGAGGTCACGATAGCTCAAGTGGTAGAGCAGCCGAAGATCGTGGGTTCGAATCCCACTCGTGCCAATGACTGTTTTATCTCAACCAAAAACCTTAATTAATTGTTATAAATAGAGTAAGTTCGACCATTCATCAACAAATTGTGAACGAATTTGGCATATTTTGTAACTTCTTGCGTTTAAGTCGTGTTTTGGTTTTATACATAAGAGGCGCACAAATTTAAATTTCTGTTTATTTTGTTAATTAATCAGCCATTAGTCTTATTTTATTTATTTAGCTTTTAAGGAAATATTTTAATCATGATTGGTCGTACACTTTTAAAATACATTAAAGAATTCTTTTATCATGATTTGAAAATAGTTTATTTTATTTTTTTATTGAACAAAACCATCTGTGTGGTCTACAGGGGTTCAGGATAACTTGAGATCATTAAGGTTAAGATTTCCTTTCTCCGCCTGAGCTAAGATTTTTTAAAAATTATTGTCGGTTCTTTCTTCTTTAGTTTTGTCATTCGATTGTTAACTATTCCAAGCATGCTCATTGATGCTGGATTTCCTGGCTTATGAAAACAAGTCCATAAAGTATGAGTGCTTTTGTACTAAGTTTTAACCAAGGATTTGCAATGTCCTGAAAGTTCTTGTCTATATGCGGCGAGTTTTTCTTTTTTTTCTTTTATTTTTCTCCTTCTACTTTTATTTTTTCTTTGTAATGTTCTTTTGTCAATATGATGACACTCATAAAGCATACCCTAAGCACCATCTTTTTTTACTTAATAGTCCCATATTGAGTTAATGTCTTAAGAAATCATCAGTTTTAAAACAGAAATATAAAAAAATTACCTTGAAAATGTCCTGTTTGTGCAAGGCCTAGGGCAATTAAAAATCGTATGAAGTCAAAAAATCAATGAATTAATTCTTAAGAAAAAGTTTATTTATTACCACTTCATTAACATCTCTAAGAGATTCATCAAAACTGTTGAAAGCCTAAGAAAATTAAATCAAATATTCAATATCATATCACTTCACTATCGATCTAAGTAAATGAACAGTTGTTACCGTTTCGTTAACATTTGTAGAAGATTCATCAGAAATGTGCAAGACCTTTTTTTAAAAAGTAAAATTATATTTTAATGAAAAGAAAATTAAAATAATTTGAAAATTGAGGTGTACCTCAGCATCAGTTGACTCTGACGTTTGCTTAAAAATAAAAATACTAAGTTTAGCTTTATGATTTTATAATAATCCAATTTACCTGTACAACCTCTTTAGGTAAAATCTCCAGCTCTTGTAAGATCTAAACTATTTCTGATTAGTACAACAAATTTTATGTATAAAATTAGATCAAAAAGAAAATAAATTAATGACCTGATAATCTCCAGGATTTTGTTGTGAAGGCTAAAGAGTCATTTTTATTATGTATAAAAATTATTATTTTAATATTGAATGAATTACCTGATTATTCATGTCTAGAAAGGCCTAAATTGACACAAAAAAATTATTGCAATTTTTATATGTGTGAATGGCATTAATCATTTAATTTATTGTAATATACAAACCACTTTATCATTAAGACAATTTCCACTCTTAATGACCTGTTTGAAACGATAACGATTTAATCATTTAAAGATTTTGTAAAGGGAAAAGTATTACAAAATCATCGTACAGCTTACCTGATTATCCACCGATTCGATCCATTGAGAAATTTGCTTGTTGTTTGAAGATTTTTATTAAAATATTGTCAAGTGTATGATGGGCCGTATGAACTCACCTCGATACTCGGTGTTGGCGGGGGGAGCGGCGGTGGTTCGGGAATCGAATCCAGCACCGAAGCCTTGGCATCGGTGCTTTCGAATTTGAAGGAACCAGCAAGGCCGTAGGGCACCGCTGTCTGATTTCTTTTCAGAAGGAGCCATTTGTTCCCAAGAGATCTGCCTTGTTGAGACACCACTTGCATGTGGAAACCTTTCGCACCCTTTTGAATTAAAACAAAGATATTTCAGAAAAATGTAAAGTAAAAAAAAATAAATGTAATTAAAAGACAAATGATATAAACTTAAAATAAACTAACGATAAATGATATAATTATAAAATAAACTTTAACGTACATATTAACACTGGGATTGCCACTGTTGTAAACATACATCCAGGATGGCATACAAAACAAGCAAGCTCTTAAGACAAAATGAAATAAAACGACCTGAGAACGAATAAATGATATGACTACAAAAACGTCTGTCAAAATTAAATTAATTAAATTTAATCATTAATTAATTCTTTTAATTTTTCAAAATTAATTTTAAAAAAATTTTGGCAGACCATTGTGATAAAAATAACAAGTGATATCTGGAAGTGTACAAACCCTGAAACTAATAGAGGGGCCTTACAATGATATTTAGATGGATCTAAAATGTAAGATAAAGTAGAGGCAGGAGACAAAGTCAATTTTGACCTAGGAACACCTTTAGACCCATTCCGTCAATTTTCCAAACTGAGATGCATGTAATATAACTCCATGCGCAAAAAAGAAAAAAGAGTAAAAGTAAAGTAATTCCTGTTATATAGAAGGGCTTAAAAGCTCATTTACTGAATTAATTAATTTAGATGACAAGGACAAGGGGTCAAACTCCGTCACAAAACTTCTCCATATTATTCACAATTAAAAATTCATAAGCTATTTGAACCCAAGATGTCTGATTTGCCATACTAGCAAATATGAATCAGACAACCTAACCATTTGGCCACTGCCTTAACTTAAAGTTCACTTTTCAAGATTTGTAAAAGTAATCTTGTAAGCTTAATATCCAAATTAGGGTGTCGCGGACGAGGGGCCCAACCACTTCCCAATACTTCTTTCAAACTATTTTCAACTGGAAAACCATGGACTGTGCCGGGATTCAAACCCAGGACTTCTGGCAAATTCGAGTTGGACGTCCTAACCACTCAACTGTGGAAAAAAGTGAAACTGGTCACCAATGACGCAAAGAAAAGTTCACCTTTATAATAATAATATAAAAATAATAATTTTTTATAGATTAAAATGTCGGGGTTGGAAGACATTTTTTAGAAGAAATGGACAAAATTTTCATTTTCCCCCTCGTGCCTTGGCCTATCTTCAGCTTTCATTTTTATGAATGGTAGAAAGAATCAGATTAATATTACCAGTAAACTAGTAAAACTGTGCCTAACTTTTATAAAAACGGCTTTGGGGACCTGATCAACAACCTTGTAAACTAATTATTCAGAAATCGTGAGATGCGTTCTGGTGTGATGTAGGTTTCAGAAAAACATTTTTTTTATCGTGCCAACATTTCGATCTTTATTGAGATCATCTTCAGGGCCTGGGATTTACAATGTAAACATTTTCATTAACCAAATAAAACACTATTTGATGTATCCATCAACTAGTAAAAATGGCTAATTACATTCAACTTCTATAACACGGACTCTAGGATGTTGAATGTTGCTAATTAGGTACTATAAATAAAATTAATGTGGAACCACAGTAGCCCAGTGGTCAGTGTGTCAGACTCCCCACAATAAATGAAAAACAATGTGTTCAGAGGCTTTTTTGTTTGAAAGATAAAACTCTATACATTACTGGTTAATTTCTATAACTATAACTAGTAGTAGTAAAATAATGCTTCCCTCAATGATGTCTCTATTTTCCGCAGAAACGTATGCTCTTTTAAAAGCCTTGGATTATATTGCCACAATAGAAGGAACTGAGTTTTGTATATTGACAGATAGCAAAGCTCAGTTTCTCAAATCCATAATTTTTCCACTGGCACTAAATGTGACAACCTGGTGACCGAAATAGTTGGCAAAACATATGACCTAAATTTAAAAAACAAGAAAGTAATATTTGGTTGGTGTCGCGATCACTGTGGAGTGGTGAATAACGAATTTGTCGATAAGTTGGCAAAGGAAGCTACATCGGGTCGATGTCCAGTCAAAATACCTAAATCTGATATAAAGAGGGTACTAACTAAAAAACTGTCACAGGAATGGAAAAAGTGGTACGATAGAGATAAGGCAGTTTCTTTTTTTAAGGCTTTCATTCCTAAACCCCGTCCCTTTTCATGGATTTTCCCAATGAGAGGAAGGAAGGCGTTTTTTTCTTCAATGATCAGAATTAGGTCGAATCATTGCATATGTGCGACTTATCTGAACAGAATTCGTACAAGACCCTCTCCAAATTGTGAAACATGCGATGAACCTGAGACAATGGAACATATTTTGTTTGATTGTCCGGAGTATGAAGAAGCAAGAAATGCCATGTTAGAACGAATCTTTAGTTTTTAATTTTCAATTTTAATAGCCTTATAGGTTCTGAAAATGAAATGGTATTTAAAACATTGTTTGAATTTGAAACTGAAGGCTTAATTAATAATTAATTAACACAAAATCTGTCTATTTATTATAGCTGACATTATTACTTATGGAGTAGTATTTATATATTTATATTAATAATTTATTATTTATTTATTTACCAATTGATTATTTATTACAGCTGTAAATACTGATTTATTGATTTATTGACTATTTATATTCTTGTTTGTTAATATTGGTACATTAATATACATTATTCATTAATTATTTATTTAGTAATTGATTGATTAAGAGGTGAGGAGCCCGGGTAGGTCCGGGGGTGTTGGGTTGGCTGGCTCGAGTTTTCTCCGGAGGGTGCTCTACATGCAAAGGGCAAATGGTCCCCGGGAAGTGGGGAAGATGTGGACTTTTCCAGGAGCCCCTGCGGCCAAGTACAGTTTTTATCGACATCCTCCTAATGCTGCCGAAATTAAATGTATACCTGAATGAGAAGCGGGCGTATGGGGTGGTGCCCTTTGGGGGTGGCCCGGGTCAGTTGGCGTAGTGATCAACAAAATGACATTGACTGAATGTCTGTAGAGCAAAGTCAAAAATAAAAAAATAACTAGTAACTTGTATTATTTTTATTATTATTATTATTACTATAGTATTATATTACCAACTGCTGATACTCCAACCTACCAACAGAACCTAACTCTATCACCCTCACCATCATCGGTGATATCGCAATTCTTTCTCTGGATAAAGATCCTGTCACAGCTTCCCATAATGTCCAAAATCCTAGAATTCTGGCTCTGGCATTGGAGAATCAAAATCAATGAAACCCAAATCAACAAAAAACGCTCCCACCAGTATACCTCAACAACGTACCCATCCGTAATGAACCATGTACAATAACTTGGACTTTATTCACACGTGGAACCCACATGGACTTAAACACACAGACTGTAACATTCGATTTTTCATGCTAAAACAACTATTCGACAGACGATCTAAACTCTCACTGAAAAATAATACTACTCGCCCCCATTTGGACGAGACTTCAAAGCGTTCCAACCTCAATCGAATTCAATCCCTCAATCTAGTCCTCAGAACAATAGTCAATGACCTTTTTTATGTTTCGAACCACCATCCATATCGACCTAAATGTTCCTCTTCTACTCAACTAGTCCAATCCAGCTAGAAAAGGTCCCATTCCAAACTACCCCACCATTCGAACCCTTTCATCGAAAACTTTTCTTCCAACACAATAACTAATAATTGCTCATAGTACTGATGTACTAACAGCTACATATTACTGGATGGTTGCGGTTCAAACTTCCATGCTATTGTTAATATTGTTTATATCTAAATATTGTTTTACTTGTTGCGTCAGTAATATTATATCGAATAATTATATAAATATCATTCTACATCAATATTATACAGAAAATGACTCTATATTTATATATGGCTGACGGTTTTAATACCATGCCATAATAATACTGTTTTTTATTTTTAACTTTAAATTTTTTCATTTTGTAAATAAAGTATATATATATATATCTATCTATCTATCAATCTATCTATTTATATAAGTTTATATATTAAATAAGCAGAAAAGGGCTTGAACTTCCAGCCAAATCTAATGAGTTGTAGTCCCAACGCTGTTGATTATCTACTCACCTCATGGCACAGATAGTTTGTCAGTAACTTTCCCGTCTTTAGAAACTTCACAGTGGAGAACATGACGATCGTAGATCTGTAATGTTCGCACTTCGCCGGTTATTTTCACTCTCGCTTCCAGTTCCACACTCCACAGACTGGGAACATTACAGACCATGCGGTGCATATGCTCAATGCTGAACTTGGCCGAGCGGTACCGATATAAAGCACGGTGACGTTTCCTCGTTAAGTACGTCACCCTTTTGGGTCAATTTTCTTAATAAAAATCACTTAAAATAATTTTATTATAAGGAAATGATCTGTTTATTTTTAATTCACGTTTTCCTGGACAATTAACATGAATCCCGTTTTGAACATTGCAGACTTTTCCAGTTGGTTTACTTTTTGCAGTTAAACAGACTTAAATTTGATCTATTTCAGCTTAATTTTTAATTAAATTTAATGTTAAAATATATTGGAATAATTATTTTATAGATCATATTGATAAAATTGGGCAAAATGATGTAGGAAAATTTTTTTAAATTATAGAACAATATGTAGCTTGATCATCTATCATCCATGACTATTCATGCAACAAAAAATACCTTTTTGATTTATTTATTTATTTATTTAACAGGCAGCCACACGTTTTTTTTCATTTGTACAAAATCTAGAAAAGTAACAGTTTACAAAGTAAACTAAAATTTACGATATATCGCAGAAAATATACGACAAATAGAAAAGTACATTTATAAAATTTTTAAGAAATAAAAATTGAAATGACAAGGATATAAAAATAAAATATAATTAAAATACGTTTAATATTGCAAAAGTTCTTGCGTGTTAATCGTAAAAACAAAAACTATTGAATCAATTTTGATGAACTTCAAAATCCAACGTATATAAACATAAAACAGCAATATCTCACTGGCACCCCCAACACGAATCATGCACAATTACACAGAAAACAAACACTTTGAGTGAGTAGAAATACTTTGATTGAATATAAAAAAAAAATTTTTTTGTATAAATTCACTTTTTTCCACATCCTACATGTTTTTGTTAAATTTAAACAATGTTTGTAAATCCGAGGCCCTGAAGATGATCTCAATAAAGATTGAAACGGCACGATGAAGAAAATGTTTTTCTGAAACCTACATCACACCAGACCGCACCTCACGATTTCTGAATAATCATTTGGTGAAACCGCTCATTTTGTTTTCATTAGTACCGAGTGGGTTTAGAGACTATAAAATGAGCATATAACAAACATTGAGCATCAGGATTTACAAAAAAAGATAACACTTTTTATACCCCCTTGGCAACACCAGTTTATAAAGCTAGTCTATATATAAATTAACAATCAAATTTTTTTGATAAAAGTAGCAATCATAATAATAAAAAAATCAATATCACTTTGAATATAACTAGAAATATATGGAATATATAATATATATCTAGAATATAAGGAAATGTAGTGAATGTAGTGACTAAAGGATAGGTTTTAAAAAATTGCTGAACCGGTCGAGAGATTTGTTAAAGAAGTCGAGAATTTTATTTCCAACGCTGTCCAAGTCTGTACAGTCATTGATAGAAGAATGGCACTGGTAATTGGTGGTTTTGGAAGAAGTGAAAAAGAGCAGGATCGGGTTCAGTTATTGGGGATGTGACAATTTATTAATTGAAGTAACTCTGGAGTACGATGGATCTAACATCTTTTCTACTCAAAAGACCCAAATCCTAGTTGAAAAACATAAAAACGCACCTCTCTAAAATAAAAACCCTTTTCTAAATATCAACACGCCTACCAGAAAGTAATTTTTTTAAAGTGGAGTTTCAATCTTCGTAGAGATCATTAGACAGATGAAGAAAGAAGAAGACTAATTGTTGGGTTCACCAAGCTTTCGGCAACTTATAGTGCCATCATCAGGGCCTATTTATTAAAAATTAAAATTAATAATATACAATTAACAAAATAAAATAATATACATACTTTCCCAAAAGTGCAGAAAACGATTAACATGGAAAAACTATTGTAAAAGCGTTTTGGGTTTAAGGTTATGAAGCACATGGCCAGTATACTGCATTTTACATGGTGAAAATAGACATATATAAAATTGTAAGTAATTATTAATATACACCATTTAAATTAACAAAAACAATAATTTATAATAAAATTTAACAGTAACTCGCTAATAAAAAAAATCCATATGACTATGGTTCAAGAATTTTGTTCTGACTAGCTATATCTTACAGGTAACATTTATGATCACAGATATTTTCTTCACCTGTCTAATGACCTCTACGAAGATTGAAACTCCACATAGATTATCTGCAGATCGATAAACAAACATCATATCGTAATTTTTTTTGTTTTGTTTGTGTGCATAGGTCATTTTGCGTTATTGGGGTATGAAGATGATTTGCATTAGGTTAAGATAGAAATGTTTTTGCTTGAATCGGAGAAAATAAGTGGTAAATGCAAATTTTTAAAATTGAAGTCTCTCTCAACATTAACAAAGATTTTTGTCAGGATGATGCAATTGATTATTCAGCCTAATTCTGACTTTTTTCTAAATTCTGGAAAAAAAAATTCATGTGGAGATGTATTCCAAATGATACCAATTTTCAAGGGGCGGGGATATCAGAAAAATATTTGGTTAGCTCCTTTGTGCATTACAAGAGGTGACATCAACTGTCATTGAGGAGGAAATTTATATATATGATATTTTTTCGGTATAAATTTTTAGTAGAAGGTTAAACCTATTTTAAATTGAAAAATGAATTAAATTCAAAATGGATCCACATTGGTTTTTAATCAAATATTGTAAGAATGAAAAAAGTACATTGAAGGAACATAAATGATGAAAGTTGACTTGAAAACAGTGAAACTTAAAAAATATCTTCTTATGGCAAACGCTCAAATTACAAAGGGCATTGATAAAAATTGAGATTTTTAAAAATTAACACACTTTATTACACATTGTGCTCTATTCTTTTTTAAAAAATATAGTTCCTACTCACAGTAAGTTGTTTTGCAACGATCCGTTTTTTAGATCTAAAATTGTTCATAATAAACAACCTAATAGAAACAGACATATATAGAAAACCCACAATTACAGACACTATGATACCAGCGGACTCTTCCCACCCATGGTCCCAAAAGGCTGCTGGTTTCATTTGGCTCATAGACCGTATGTTAAAACTTCCATTAACACCTGCTAACTATAAAAAAGAATTAGAAACTATTAAAACCTTAGCAAAAAACAATGGGTATTTAGAAATATTTATTGATAGGTTGCTAGTTAAAAGAATAAAAAAAATAACTTTAAACGAATCAACAATAGGACTCAGCCACCCCACCACAAATGAATCATTAGGTTTCCGTTGTTTGCCATACATTGGCGAATTATCAGAAAAAGTTAGTAAAATTTTTAAACAAGAAGGTTTAGAATAGCTTTTAAAAGTACGAGTTCACTCAAAAACATCCTCTCAAAACCTAAAGACAAGGTAGAGAGCTTGGCAAAAAGCGGGGTTTACCAACTCAATTGTAATGATTGTGATATTAAATATACAGGACAAAGCAGTAAAGAAATAAAAACGAGAGTAAAAGAACACTTGCCTAAATCGAGCACATTTTCGGAATTTAAAGACCGTCTAAAAGAAACAAAACATAATTTCAATTCAAATTTAAATACAACAGTTTTACATAGTTTCAACAAAGGGAGAGAACTCTATTGGTTTGAGAAATTTGAAATTAAAAAATGTAAAATTGAACATGGTGATAAATGCATTAATAATATAACAGGTTTTGATTTACCTCCCATTTTAAATATGTACATAACGTCCAAATAATTAAATTAATTATTTTAATTGTTATTATTTTTATAATAATTTAATAATATTAAGGTATCATTCTAATTTTCTATATTTTATCTTTAATCACTAATTTATAATTAATTTCTTACAGTATTTACTATTATAATATTTATTTGTGTTCTAATTTCCGCGTTTCGCACGTTCAAATTGAGCGCCTTTAAAAAACCAGCTGTTCATTGGAACGTCGCGTTGGCGGGGGTATCAGCGGGTTCACTTTTGCAATTCGTGTGGAGAGACGTGTTGTAGTCTCAAGTCTGTAGAAGTCCTTCAACTGATGATGATCTAAGTGCTCGAAATCCGGACGTTGCAAAACAACTTACTGTGAGTAGGAACTATCTTTTTTTAAAAAAGGATTGAACACAACACTCACTCCATCATTTATCATTTCCGTTGTGCTCTATTCAGTTAATTTTTGTCAGAGGTTTCTTTATAACATGTCTTAATTTTCAAAAGCATGCATTTTACTCACCATCACACCAGCATAAATTACGTTTTAAATAGAAGAATAAATGAAAAGACTAATTAAGTTTTACTTTTATTGAAATAAATTAACATCATTTACATTATTGTTATAATTATTCCTTTTCTTGGTAGTGCTTGCTTATTAAAACTAATGTTCATTGCCCGCTTTCTGTTTTTTAAAAAATAATCCAACAGATTATTCAGGTTATAATAGAATAGAGTTTATATTGCTTTTATTCTGTTCTTTTATGAATTTATTATACAAAGTATGTACATGGATAGTTAAGTATGTGTCAATCCGTCTACAATTACTAGCATGCATCAATAAACATTGTCATCTTATTATAAAGAATAAATAAATATATATGTATATATACGACTTTATGAATATGAAGTTACAACAGTCAGCGGGATCTGTTCGAAAGCTTGAATATTTTAAAAATTTGTCCTAAACAAACATAATATTAAATATTTGGCAATTACTCAAATTTGGCAGTGCTCAAAATACAATGTTATACAATATTTAAAATTGTGTGGTGACGATTTGTTTAGTTCTATTTTTTTTTTAAATTTGAAAATTTTCAAGCTTTCATTATAATAAATTAACGATATGTTCAGCAAATTCAACTCGATTTGACTGATTGCCTGCCTAAGTTCTTGTCCTTGCAGTAAATCCTACAGATTTCGGTTTGTGTCATGAAAGTCGCTGTGTAATAAGATAAAAAAAAAAATGTTTTTAATATAGCCTTCATTCAGCATGAAAGCACTCAATGAACCAGACGTCCATTGTTAATCGTTTGAGCAATGTGATTAATTTTATTACGCTTCAGGTATACAATACAAAACATCTATCAAGTACTTCAAAAAATGCTATTATCGCACCAAACCTTAGCGAAATATTAACACTATTTTCTTCTTTAATGTTTTCTTACAATACTTCCAGTAATATAAGGTTTTTTAACTTCCACTCATTGGGTTCATTGTTAATTTAATAATTGATCTTAACGTTTTATTACTACTCATAGATTAATGTATTCTCTAGGCTTACGGTTAATCTAAATGAAAATAACCCATTGTTGAATCTTTGCCATCTTTTGTAACACCTTGACAAATTCTACACCCGAAATTAATTCTAGAAACTACAACTAACTTACCATAAACTAAAACATATATTCATATAACTTGATTAATCAGAGTTTATGTTTAAAAAAAAAAGCGTTTAAAAAAAAGAAATTTTACATGATTTAAAAAAAGTAAACTGTGCATATATGCGATTGTATAAATTAAACAAATCATTTTTTTTTAGTATAAACTAAAAATAAATGTTAACTTTTGGACCTTTGCTTGAGCAAAAATTAAGTTTTCTAATTTTTTACATTTGTGTTTTTTTATTTATACATATCATCAATCAATATAAAGTGAATTTAAAACAATGGCAAGAATCTAGCTGGACTGAATGAATCTGTTTGTACACTACATTTTCTATTTCTTATCCTTTCTCTACAAATACATCAAAAATACACAAAGATAATGGAAAATATTTATAATTCTGAGATCTAGAGAATTAACAAATTATAAATACTAAAAACAGTCTTCCTTATTAAGTCTTGTCGAAGGTAAAATGTTCCGGCTCAAAAAGAGTGGTTTTTCAGCATAGAAAACATGGAAAAAATAAATGGCAAGAAATCTTAATTTATTGGAAGACAAACGCACAAAGCATGATTTCAATGAAACAAAAATACATGCTTCAGCCATTCTGGAAGACAAATTTCTTTGGCTGTATTTCAAAAATCCACTTTTTTCATTTGAAAACTTTACTAAAGCGTTTTTTTTTTATAAATATTCCATTTTTTAGGATAGTTTTTAGTTGTTTAGAAAGTGTAAAAAATAACCAGTTGCTCTTGTTACACTCTCTCGAGCCATTATATTTTGCCCTGTCCAGACTTAAAATTAAATATTAAGGAAGACTGTTGAAAACAACTTTTAAATTTTTTTCTTTTATAAATATAACGACAATATAGTACAACGAATAAATAATTCTAACAATAGTTTTACTTTGTGCTTTTTAACAGAATTAAACGTGCATAATATATTAACATTTTTGATTAATGTTACCTAACATCTTTTAACATATATATCACATAAATATAAATGTAACCTATATAAAAAACAATTACATTATATAATAAATATACAACCTTTTTCACTTTGGATTATCCAAAATTAAAGTTAGTGGAAAGATGCGGGCTTTATTTTAGAATACTGTAGTTTACAATTGTCAAATAGAAAAGTGGAGGAGAATCGAATATTTTAACTTCGTTCATTTAAATCTTTTTCCAAAACTTTCAAATCAGTGAAACTATTCATTCCTCCATATCAATGTGATTTTGATATACATATAAACTAAACAAAAATATATTTATGTATATATAATCACATAAACTGAGCAACTACTACCTTCCTATACAACTACATCTTTTTTCTTCTGATGTTACGCTAGTTATGACATATTCTTTACGATATTAACTCATATTTAAATTTTTAAAAATGATTATTTGGCCTCTAATATTGCATTTAATTTGTCAGTTTAAAAAAAAAAATAAAATAAAGGGAAAAGAAAAAACAAAATTTATATCGAACTAGCAGTTTCATACCTACGTTCACTAATACATTTAAGTACACCCAGTCTTTCACAACCACAGTTTGTTATCTCATATACATAAATATTATAGTTTTACACCATATATACATTAGACATGGCTAGAAATAGAATTGGTAGGCTAGCTCTGATGGCACTGGAGGCTTTAACCTCTCTTCATTTTTGTAAAAACTACTACTCAAATAGTAAAATCAATATAATAATTGAGTGTTTAATCACACTTTAATATTATTCTTCATCAAAATGTCTAGTATAGGCAATAGTAGAAAGTATCAGTGCAGTGTTTCTAATTTTTAAAAAATGGTTCTAATTATGTATAATCTAAGTTGTGTTATATCCCTTACTCCTAGGTTTTGTAGAATTTTCAATTCATTGTTCATTTGGACCTATTGTATTCCTCCAATATCCATTCATAAATTTATACACTTATTTTTTGGCTACATACTACAAACACAATTCATGTCTAGGTAGATATTTAATACGCTATGCATATTTATAATATTTATGTAATATATTTTTTTTGTACAATTGAAGTTAATTTATTATCACGAATATATATCTTTTTTTCAGTCATCTATATTCTGAAGTAGTGTGAAAAAGTTTGTGATTTATCGATTGCTCTGTAGATCCCTTGAGGTTTAGACAGGCAAAAAATGATTCTATAATTATTTTTCAAAACAATCCGTAATTAAAATTGAAGAATATCTGCATATGTATATATCGAATTTTATTATAAAAAAACAGACAATTGTAAAATAAAGGCAGGTATTAATAAATATTAACATTATGGCTATCAATGAAAATATTATCATTAGAGCCATTGAAATATTAAGAGCTCATCAAAAATTTCCCTCAAATTAACATTTATATCTAACTATAATGTTCATACTAGTATGTAGAGTAAGTACATAAAGTGCACCAAAAAAATAGTAAAAATGTGCTTATATATTGAATTTTATACATGTAAAAAATTCTTAATGTATATGGGTTTTTTCTTTTTCTTTCTTTTTTAATTTATTATGTAAATCCAAAAAGACAAACTTAAAGAAACATTTTTTTAACATTTACAACTTTTTAAGAGAGTTTTGTTTTTCTAACATTGTTTATTTGTGAAGTGGTAGATTGAAAAGGTATCTGGTGGAGGGAAATTGTCCAGACCAAATATACTCCCGACAAGTTCACTGAGGATCGAAATAATGTATCTTGGCACATACCAGTAAACGCTCGATTGGACGAATACAACATGATAATACAATTTTGTTAGGGAGAAGATATTTTTATTTTTTCTTCAAAAGATTGCATGTGTTCTATCACTCCATGCAATGCTCATATTTGTTTGAAAAGCCACTCAATGTAGATGATAGGTGTTAAATCAAGAGTAGTCATTGGCAAAGTTTGGAAAAGGGTGGGATTGTGTTAGGTTCAGGTTAGGGTTAAGCATAGTATGGTTAGGTAATTATTGTTAGGTAGGGTTAGGGTTTTGGACAGGTTAGACTAGGTAAGTTTGGAGTTAGAATTAGGGTTAAGAACGAGTTAGGCCACATAGTCTTTTTCTTTATAAGATAGTACAATTTTGTGCAATTGATAAAGATTAGAATATTTGCTTCGAAGACCACATTGTGTATCTGGAATGGATAGAGTAAGTTGGATCAATATTGGAAGGAGTACAGGTTTGCAAATTTTGAAAAAAAATTGAGGGAGGTGTAGTATAACATAATATCGACTTTTTTGGATGGGTGTGCAGAAGTGATTGTGTTTTTCCATCATGCCCTAGAGCTTTTTTAGTGGACAAGGAGTTGATTATGTTTTGGTCTTGGCATGGCGTACTTCTAAAATTGTACATAATTGGGTCTTAGTCTCTTTTAGGCTAAGCTCTATTTCTTGGGAAAAAATGTGTTTTAACATGGAATTTAGGCTGGTTTTTTGTGTCACCATTATCTCAGTGAACTTGTGTTATTGGAATGAACATAGGCAAGGTTAGGTTATAGATTAAGTTAGGTATGGTTAGGGATGAATTAAGTTAGGTCAAATTAGATTCGGTAGAGTTAGGGTTAAGGGCAAGTTAATTTAGGTCTTTTTTTCTTAAAATATAGCATAATTAAATGCAATTGCTGAGGACTTGAATGTTTGTTGATTCTGGAATGGATAGAGTGAGGTGTCGGATCAATTTGGAAGGAGCTGACTTTTGTAAATTTTGGCAAAACGTGGGAATATGGCAGATTGATCGGGAGCTTTTTAATCATTTTCATTTTTTCTTTTAATTGTTTAAGCTAAGTTAATAGAGTAAAAGAAAGTTAAAGTTAATTTTTATTTAAATGGATTAATAATAAATTTTGTTTATAATATTAACTAATAATTTCTAAATTATATTTTGCATTCCAATTTTGCAATTGCAAGTACAAGTTTATTCTATGTCATAATAATATTACAAGAAAATGAGAAATTCATGATTCTCCATTTTTACAGGAAAAAATTGATGAGCAATAATCTTTAAAAAAAATTAAAATGTTCACATTAAAAATAAAATTATCACAGCATTTTGTTCATATGCGGGGAATTGATTTTTGTTAAATCTGTACAATATTAGTATGTAAAATATGTTAAATATATAATGATTAGTTATTATAATTTAGTAACATTAAAAAAAGATTTTGTGTAAACAAAAACAGTTTTAATCAAAATGAAGTTTGAAAAGTGCTTTATGTTTTAAAAGACAGGTTCTGAATTTTGAGTGTTTGGTTTCTCAATTTGTAAAGATGCTCTTTGTGTTATAACGCTACCATGTCGGCCATAGTAATAATAGTTTATAAAATATCAACCTACAATCTATTTTAGAATTTATTTCTTATTTTTTAAATAGTTACCGGTTAATCTCACCTCATTCTCATTTGTACTCATTTAAAACATACAGTCATCTCATAAGGTTTATTCTCTAAAATGAAATAATCACAGAATAAAAGAAGACAGACAGATGGAGGGTGGAAGAGAAAGTGAGAAAGAGAAAAGTAAGAAAAAACTCAGGAATTGATCAAAAATATATCTTTTTAAAATTAAAAAAAAAAAAAAAAAAGGAAACTGAGGGTGAGACTATCTGTTTTACCTTTTCCGATTAAAAGGTAAAACATCACTATACAAAATCATACATTTTGTGAGCATTCGGGGAGGATGAGCCTACTTGTCCTTTTCTAAGAAGACAAGATCATCCGCGACGACATCGCTTATGTGCAAGTAGATGATCCAGTACATTAGATTAAAACATACAAAACATACTGGGAAGACAATACGACTGTACATGTCAATTCCGCTGGGGGTGATCCCGTAGATATGGTTGTAGTCCTTTTCCTTTCCCTTCAGGAGTCCCCCCTCTTCATCAGCCTTTCCGTTGATAGTATTCTCGAGCGTCCCGCCTTTGAAGTGAGCCTTTGGGTCATGCACTTTGTATCTCACCTCCTGCCACCAATCAAAAAATCACTTAAATTGTCACAAAACAAATTGATTTTTTCACAATTTAGGCATTGTGTCTGTTTTCAAATGCAACTAATTAAAAACAACAAAAAATTAGTCGCATTTAAAATTAATAAAACCAGTCCAAAATGATTTACCTAAAAACAATGATAATAATGATGTATTAATGTTATTAAATAATAATAAAATATTTTTTTAAGAGGATGATGATGAATCTTCTGGAAATGATAAATGCATGATTATGAAAACTGCCTTGCCTATCAATTACCATGATTCATATAAATTACCATGTGATCCACCAGGGCTTTTTTGCTTGTAAGAACAAAAAAAAAGTGATAAAAACTACATCCACCCAAAAACAAACATTTTTAGCATCTTAGCAAAACACAAATCCATGGCCACACATGCCATAAAATCACAAACTCACAAGTTTTACAGTCATTCTGCCACAACGCACATTTTAATTTTTGACCCCTAGCTTATTGGATGAAACTTCTTTGTTTTATATTTCACTTGTACCTACACACTCATACATTCCACATGCTCATTCCTTTCTTTCTCGCCTAACAGTCTAGCTGTAACTGTTAAAGCACATTGATTTCAATTTAATAAGTCCATTGTTCCAGGTTTGGAATTAATTGAAGAAACAAATTGTCCTGGTTAACTTTTATTGAAATAAAAAATTCAGCATCAACTACAGTTCAATATGAATTTTGATGAATACAATCCCCTTTAAAGTATACTTCTTCTTTTCTCCTTCTTATTCTTTTTTAAAAATATAATTAGTAACATTAATTATAAAGTATTTCACGAACAAAAACATTTTTTTACAAAGTATTTACAAACAAATAACATCATAATTTATCTACATTCTAGCATGCATATATCTTATTTACAAAAAACTTTCAAATTAACATTTTTCATGGAGTGCATGAATCTATCGAGTTGGGTGTTATAAAATAAAATAAAAAAATGGATTTTTTAAAAAATAGTAAAAAAAATCAGCTGAAATTTAAACAGGCTGGCAGTGTTTAAAAATATACGAAACTTTTTTGTGTATATGGCAATTCTTTTTTATATGGCAGAAAATTTTATTATAAATAAAATAAGGCCAAGAAAGCTATAATATTACGTTTACATAAAATTAAAAACTATTTTAAGCTTACAATGGCTCAAAGTGAAAATGAATTTATTAAATTTTTAAGGCAAATAGAAAAGCAATCTCTTTTAAAAACTAAATCTGTGTCTTTTTTGTTTATAGCCAATAAAAAAATTTGTAAATTTTTATAATGACCATGAGTCAAATTAGTGAAAAAATACTAATACTAATGTTATTAGGAAAATGATACAATGTTCAATATTAAACTTGCAAATGTTATTTAAAAAAATTACATAACTATGAAAAGTATGCTGATTGGAGGTGGATTCTTCATGTGATTTGCACAAAAAAAAAAAAAAATATATACTACTTGATATTGCATGAAACAAATAAATTGATGGAAAACAAAATAATTGTCCTACTAATGGAAACAATCTATATGTTTTTAGTTGGTCCTAGTAAAACGTAATGATTATTTAAATTGATTTATAAGTTTCATCTAAAGGATGGTTCAGATAAAAATTAGTGCCATGAACATGACTCGAACCCACGACCTTTGGCTTGATACTTGGTGCCCTAACCACTTGAGCTATTGTGGCTTCGGTCCAAGACACCCACTCATCATTCACTACACTACTTTTTCACCTCAACTACACTTTACATAAAATTTTTAAATCAATTTTGGCTTTCAAAAAGTATACCCAGGAAAATAATTAAAAAAGTAAAATTAATACATGAAAGTTGTGATAGGAACCAGACTTACTTAATTTTTTAATGACAAAACAATTTATTATTAATGTTTCAACAAAAACTAGTTGCTAAATAAGTTCAACACTAGTTCTAATCCCCATACGAAAAAAAAAAAACACAAGGAAAAATGGATAACAGACAAATTAAAAAAAAATCATATACATGAAAGTTGTTAACTTCATTAAGATAGTTCACATTGTTAAATATTCACTGCTATTAAAACAGCAATTTTGAAAATGTTAATGTGAACGGGGGTTGAATCCAGCTCAAGTCAACACAAGTTACTGAAATGCCTACCATTTTTATCAATAGGTTTTAGCCTTTGTGTACAGAGGACAAATTTCACATTGAGCCTTCACAAACTGATTTTTTGAATTATTTCATTACGACTTTTCTTTGCCTCGATAAACAAATTTACTTTTTAAAAAGTTAGCACCCAACTGTGAGTTAATAATGAATCAAACAAATCATCCCCAGTAATTAAAACAAAAATTTGTTTAAATAGCATTGTAAAATAAAATTAGTTTAAAAATTTAATCAACTGGAGTTCATTTGTTTTCTTGCATTATTACTCTCATGATAGATTGGGGAATGTTAAGTAGAATGCAATTAGAATTTTGCAGACTGCAACGAAAAATCCATTTTGATTTTATTACTAAGCTTTAAATTTTTTTACACATTTGGACCTATTTTTTTAATGAATCATATGTATTGCTTTTAGTTTTATCTACATAATACTATACTTAAACATTAATTTTGAATTTTATCCACGATAAAATTTGTACAGTTTCACTCTCTCTTTTTTAAATATTATATATTCTTTTTTTTAATAATATATTGTTCATCAATCACAAACTTTTTTCCCCTTTTAAACTCATCTATATAATATAGATTATAAAAAACATCTTGTTTAACAAGTTTATACTATCATAATTTTATATAATAATTTGTAGAATAACTAATTTTTAATTTTGCATTTTTTTATTTAAAATTTATAACTATTTTATAGTTGATATTTTCTGAAATCATCACAGTTAAACTTAAAGGCCACAAAATGCTAGAGAAATAAACTTATGTACAACTAATTTAATTGAGAAGGAATAATGAAATTATTCAAGGACTATCTAAATCCTGTAGTCAAACAGTGCTTTTAATTTAATCGTTATTATTATTATACTAAGTAGAAATCTTTTTCCTGAGTGATTACATTTATTGCTTACAAGAAAGAGATATCTCTTAAGTTTCTTCCTTTTGCCTTGTTCACTGTTAATAATATACAACAAAAGTTACAGTTGGATGGATTAAATTTTGTAAATATTGAATTTTATTTTAATGCAAAATCTTTTTAAAGTGCTTCTTTGCTTTAAAAAGAAAAAAAATCTGTAAGAATACTTTTGTTCCATTAAAGAAATTATCGTGTTAATATTAGAAAGGTGCTTTGGTTATATTTGGTTATATTATGTTATAATAGCATCTGCGTTAGTATAATATTACAATATTTTTCAAACTTTGTTTTGAAAGGTGCATTTTATTTATGCCATTTATGGCAGTCACATTTATAAAATATTTCCCCTACAACCTACTTTAGAATTTATTTAATTTAGCAGCAGTACTTAGTCACTTGCTCTCTTATTTTGCCTTAAACACAACTATCATAGTATAGTTTATTCTAGACATAATCACATTTCTTTAAACAAAAAATTAGACAAATAAATAAAATGGTATAGAAAATAATGCGAGTGATGATAAACAGTAGGAATTTTTGTATTTTTTTATAGTTTTTTTGTATAGAAATAAATGCAATTTGAGAAATGTTGTGGGAGAAGGTTGAGTTTAAAATTCAAGGAAGGTGGACTACTATATAAAATCATGGAATGAGCATTTTTTTTTTTTTTTTTTTAAATGAGCCTACTTGTCCTTCTCCAAGAAGACCAGATCATCAGCCACTACATCACTTATATGAAGGTAGATGATCCAGTACATGAGGTTAAAGCATACAAAACATACGGGAAAGACGATGCGACTGTACATGTCTATTCCACTCGGTGTGATCCCACAGATATTGTTTGACGGCTTGAGGATGTGTGGAGGCAGTGGGGGGAGTTCATCGTCTGCTTTTCCGTTTATTGTGTTCTCTAGTTTTCCTCCTTTGAAGTGAGCCTTCGGATCGTGTACCTTGTATCTCACCTCCTGTCACCAATCAGAAAATCACTTAAGTGTGCACAAAAATTATTAGAAAACAACAACAAATTTACACAATAGCAATACAACCAAGCAAATGACACACATAATGAAGACATTTGATTTGTTCAGAGACAAACTTTTTGGAAGTCTTTCTTTAGCTGGCTTTGGTGGCATTGATATGTTGTATAAAGGATAAAAAAATTCTGGAAAATAAAATATATTATTGGGATATTGCAGTGGAATTATAGCTGTGTTGGACTGCTAAATCAGATTGGCTAGGGAAAAGTATAGTTGTTACAAAGGGCAGAAAGAAGAAAAAGGTACTGAAAGATTTTTTTTTCCAAAACAACATCCTACACATAATACAGCATAACAAAGAGTTATAGAAAGAGAGAGGTTTCCAGTGCCAAAACATTTATAATATAAAAAATCTCACAAGACGATAAAAATTAAACACGAAACAAGGAATTGTGTTATCAACTGTAACAGAGCAATGTGAACGTGAGCCTCTAGTGCTAAAAGTGCAATGTGAATCCCTTGCGGAGAGCCTGAATATATCAAATATATCGGAAAAAGGATTTGCTGGGTTTTACACTGAATGGCAATAACATCAAATTAGCAACAGAATTTCCTGACTTACCTCTCACTTTTATTTACTGATGTTTTAAATTTGTCTTGATACATTCAGGTGAAATAATTGTTTGGTTGATGATAACTACTATTGAACTTTGAACATTTTTTGTCAATTGTTTTGTGTGCTCTGAGAAGTGACAATTAGTCTTAACTTTCAGGCTGATAGATTTAGATTTTAAAGTAAATGTGGGTTGAAATTGCTTTTTTGTTATAATTGATAAAATCAAGGTTTCATATTTTATTAACAGATAAAATTGGATATTAAACAAAAAGTAGCAAAAACTTAAAATTTAGGAAACAATATAAAAGAAAAAAAAACAAAAGGAGATAAATCTATAAATTTAATTGTAATAAAATTATGCTGTTAAAATTTAAATATGTGAAATTTCACTACAGCATTAATAAATACCATTCAGTCAATGTACAAACGAATAATATTTTCAACTACAATACATTCTAAACATAATGGATTTTAAAAGCGATTGATACTAGGAATATGTGTTTGAAGGTGGCAAACAGATATTTAAGAATGTATGAATTGTTTGTTGCATAATGGAAATGTATTTTCATCTCTGGCCTAAACGAAGTTGCTTAAAACGGAAAATAGAAAACCCGTTGTGTTTTTCAAACGCATTCAATTTGAACATTTCGAGTGAATTCATCTGATCAATGACTGTCCATTATTGTACTAAATTTTTATTTTAAATATACAACATACATAATTTACATTTTTTAAAATAATACTTATCATTATTCATTGACACTTATTCTTTCATCACTGTTTTATTTTTTTATTTTTTCTTAATTACAATAGTACACATAATCTTATAAATTTGTAATTTATATTGCCTTTTGTTAACACTTATTTTATTTAGAATATATGAGTTCTGAGACTCTTAACTAATATTACACTTCTCTGACAATAATAATTGTATGCCCTTTGATATTTATTTTGTTATAATCTCTAGTTTAAAAACAATCTTTTTTCGCAATAATTATACCTTGGTTATGAAATTGAAAATAATATTTGGAGTCTTTCTGCTTTTATGTTTCTTCATTGAAAAATATACTTCTCACATTCACTACTTATCATTGAAATGTCTCAAATTTAAGGCTAGTTTAGGGTGAATAATTCAATATCCATTTTAAAAAAAAATTTAATAGTGTGGGCCTGTTAGTTTTTCTTCATATTAATAGTTTGGGTCAGATCAAGTTTAATATAAAATTTTTGTGATTTATGGTTTTCAGTTAGGCTGAGCTACTAGACTATCAATTTATTTTTAAATATTTGATTTTATATGTTTTTATTCTCTATATAATTAAAAAAGTAAATTACTTTTATATAAAGATACACTTTGTCAGCATTTTTTAGCGATGGCAATAGTGGAGAATGATAGGACAACAGATAACTGACTTAACCTCCAGAAAAGAGAGAGATAACAGTGAAAATAATTTATGTAGTGTACATTTTGTTTATATTTCAAAATAATTTTTTATAGTCTTTATTGTAATATAAAAAAATGTACAATGCATAAATTATGTGACGGAGAGCATTTGCTCTCTTGTAGAGGTTAGGCTGGTTATCCACATTTCCATTCTTCACCACTGTAACCACCACTAAAGATACTGAATTTCATGTATATAAGAAAAACTGGTCAAATTAACTTTAAAAATGAATTTAACCTTTATATAATATTTTATATACTACTCTTTAATACTTTTTGGTGATTAAAAATATGCAAAGTCTTGTACAATGTTTAAAGGAACTTTTTCAATAATTAGAGTTGAATTTTTATTTAATTATAATTGCACCCGTTTCAAAAACGGTTGGACTACATTTCCATTTCAAAGTGGCGACGATATGTTAAAAAAAATTGTCCAAGGGTTTTATTTATGTGCTTTTGATTTAAAAACCCAAATTTTTCATAAAAATAGTCTGAGTATAGTAAAATAAACTGGAAAAATTTGTATCATCATTCAGTTAGTGAAAGTTGAGCAATTTGATTTTTGTAATCTGTTTTTCTACAATACAAACGTCTATATCGTTTTAAATGTTTTTAGGGCTATGCTGACAATTATCACTGTCATGAATATAATTCACAATAGTTACAAATTTTATGCTAATTTCTACCTCATTTGAGGTGTTCTACTTTATTCAAACAGTATGAGATCGTTATTCAAATAATAATTAACAATATCTCACTGCACCTTGATGTTAACAACATATTGTTATCATTTTATAAATATTTCTTTTTCTGTATATATATATTTTACAATCGAGCACATTTTTAAAGTCACATCTAATTTTTGGGTTTTTGCAATCTAATTTGGGAATCAATCAGAAAATTTTATCAAACTTTTTCATGAAGTTTTGAGTAATTTGGTCGGTATTCATGATTTGTATTAATCTTGGACCCTTTTTAGGTTGTTTTACAATTAATTCATCCAACAATCCCTTCTTACAAGTTATAATTTTAAGAATTGTATTTTTTAATCAATAAATTTATGTAATACTTAATGAAAAAAAAATTCAAACTATTTCGGTGAAATTTAAAAGGGGTTTAAGGTTATTAGAAGTTTTAAAAGGTCCGTGTGATATTGTGTAAAGAGATAATATTACTAACCCAAAAATATAAGTGAGCTTTTATTGACATACAGTTTTTTTCTTTGAAATTACACAATCTTAAAATTAACTCATCAAGATTGACAACAGACTCAGATCAATATAAAACTCATGACAGATCCATCTAAACAAATAATAAAATTTAAAAGTTAATATCACATTTAAGTTTTATTTTATTGAAATTTATTTTTCAAATGCTTGTTTGTTAAAAAAAAAAAAAATAAATAACATGGTTTATTTACGATTCATACACATTTGAGTAATTAAACTGAAGGTATTCCATATTTATTCTCAGTTTTGGCAATTGAATTATGGTCCCTGCACTGACACTATGGATATCATGACTTTTAACAAAACAAAACTGGAATGCCATAAAAGCCAGTCCAAGGATTGTTTCTCATCTACGTTCATGACACTGTTGACGCATCGCTGTAAATCCCCTTAAACATTTTTATACAATTATAATAAATATGTGATTAATAATTTATAATTAACATTTAGAATATATTTTTATAATTAATTATGAAACAGTGTTTTAGAATCTCACAAAGCGAAGAACTTTAACAAATCCACCAGTCTTCACAACTTCATCAAGTTGTCTCGTATAAATAAAATTCATTTTTTTAAAAGTTACATATTACTTTATTTACAAAGTTTTACAACTTATGGGAGTTGTAACATGGCACAGGAGACCCGAGTCTCGTATTTTTCAATGCTATTCTAAATTAATTGAACATCTTCTAATCTCTGGATAAATGCTATACAACCCACTAAAGGTGCTAGTTTGAAGTGCAACCGGTGCTTCTACACACTATAAAACATTGTTAACTTAACTTAGAAATTACAACCTTGGACTATTTGTTTTAATAATGTACACATTGAAAATTGGCTAAACCACTTGACTACTTCTTTTGAAGTTATATTTATATTTGTCATTTATTTATTTTTGGTTGAGTTGTCAAAATAATTAAAAAAAATTATTTAAAAAAAATGAATATAAGATTATTTATGGAGTAGCAACATGCTGTGTTATTCATCTGAATTAGCAGTTATTTTAAATTTTGAAAAATATTACAAATGATTAATTATTTTTCAAAACAACTCATTTCAACTTTTCAAGTTTAAGAATATATGGACAAATTTAAAATTTATTTAATTTTATCACTTTGTCCCAGTATGAGTAATTAATTTTTAATTTTGTTAAATTTGACTTCGACACTCAATAAATCGTGCAAAATGATTTATATTTTGTAAAAAAATTGACACTAATATTAAATGTGCAACGTGGTAAAACAACTATAAAATTACACAATATAATTTTAGGTTTTTTTTAGGTAACTGGGTGTAACATGTAGTTTAATTATTTTTGCGTACCTGTGTTCCACTTGCTTGCCCATCTTCTTTTGCTCTTTGATACACGATAACATGAAAAAAGAATCACATCAAGAGAATAACAAGGATCTAGTGCAAAATTGAGCACTAAAACACAATAAATTCTTAAACTTCGAATAACATTATAAATTAGAACTGAGATGTTAAAGTTTAAAACATGTCTTTGTTATAAATTCCAAGGCGATTAATTATTAAGAAATCTTCATCGTATAAAATTTATCTGATCATTTATCATACAGGCATAGTCTGGAAAAAATATATAAAAAGCTTATATTTTATTACTGCTCATTAAATCCTTGTTAATCAGTTGTCTGTCATTTTAATAACATGTCAAAACAACAATAACAATTACTCCAGATTGAACACTTTGCTAAAAAAGATTAGTTAATAATGACTTGATAAGTTAAATGATTTGCAGGTTTCTTTGGTTGCATTTTTAAGGTTTTTCCTTGAAAATTAGCGAATAACATAGGGAAAAATGTGATTTTTTAAAAATTGTCGGGTGCAAATCTTAAAAATCTATAAAATATATGTGCCATTATTTTTTATGTGATTAGAAATAAAAGAAATGTCCTCATCTTTGAAAATATATTCAGTGAGTTGTGTTATTGATTGAAATTATTTCATTTTTTAAAAGGACATTTACTTTATTTTTTTTTTGGTCACATTTTAAAAAAATAACACCTCGGACAGAGTGGCTAAAATTAGAGAGAAGATTTACTAATTCGGAACTTAAGGTGTCAGGGCTTAGCGTGAAGTCCATCGGTATAACAGCATATAGATTTTGTGCAACATGCTGGAGTTTTTGGTCACATTTATAAGTACAAAACGGCTAGAAATTACTACAACTACTTTAGAATTTCACTTATTTTGTCCTTTTTACCCCTGGTGTGTGCAAGGGGTGTTAATAATGTTTGGAAAGATTTGGCACTTGCAATTTATGAAACCAACATTCCATTTTTCCCATTGATTTTGATCAAATTGAGAATGATTAAAAAACGTATCTTTGCTATTTTATGGTCTTTTTAAAAACAGTTGTTTGTTTTGGTTTATGACCAATTACTGATGCCAAAATTTTCCATAATACACAATTAATTTATATTAGTTGATTGATCGTTATAGAATACTACTATAAACTGCTTTAAACCGTACTGTTTGGTGAAAAGCCAAAAAGAAATAAAGAAAAATATTATAACTACATTTGTGTTAAATATGAAAATTGCCAATACTGTACATTTTTTTCTTTTAATAAATTGAAGTGTTGAAGGGGCTGTGTTTAGATAGTAACGATGGATGGTATTAGCCTACTTGTCCTTTTCCAAGAAGACAAGATCATCAGCTACCACATCGCTTATGTGTAAGTAGATGATCCAGTACATGAGATTAAAACAAACAAAACATACAGGGAAGACAATTCGACTGTACTTGTCTATTCCACTGGCAGTGATTCCATAGAGCTTGTTGTAATCCTTGGTGGGCTGTAAGATGTGTTGCGGTATCGGGATCACTATTGCCGAACGGCCTGCCACCTCTTCTTCAGCTCTTCCGTTGATCGTATTTTCAAGTTTGCCCCCTTTGAAGTGGGCCTTTGGGTCGTGCAATTTGTACCTCACCTCCTGTCACCAATCAAAAAATCACTTTTACTCACACAAACAGAGAGCTCCACAAAAATCACATTTAGATTAGCACATTTGCAGTACAGCCTGCATACTGCTTTCTTTCTTTTTTTTTTTTTTTTTTTTTTTACTTTGATAGACGAGTAGTGGATTGTTTTTGTTCTTTGCTTGCATTGACACTGTATTGGACATAAATATGCTAGTGTATCGGCAGAAACAACACAATAATCAGCCATCGTGCTACTAATTTAATGTTCAACTGATATTTTAATCTAACTATGTATAAAAAAACTAACTATAAAAATGCAGGAAACAAAGCATTAAACTCAACGGATTAAATTTCTGTAGCTATCTAGTGTACCTAACATAATTAGTCAATCTTAGATAAAAAGAGAATATATATTTTAAAAAAATTTGGTTAAATGCTTGCAATAAATATAAATGCAAAAATTACCTGATTTCTTGTTGTTTTTTTGTTGATTCTCGTCTGAAAGTTTTCTGGCCATGTTAGGAGTATTAAACACATGGGTGAAAATTCGTTAAGTTTTTATTATTATTATTTAATTTAAACCAAAATACAAATACTTAAAAAACCCTTTCGGAAATGAAAGTGTTTTCTGTTTTAGTCTCCTTTATTTATAATACAATAATTTGTTGAAATCTGATGATCATGATAGAAGTAATTATTTTATTGTTAAAATGAATATAATATACACAAAATGTAGACATCACATAGAATTACAATGTATTTTTTATCAATTCATTATAGTCTAACTCCAAACTTAAACCTTTCAGTCGGTAAATGTGAATAAAATAAAATATGACAGACATAATTCTAACCCGTTGCCACATTCATTTAACAATACACACAATTAGTTTTGAAACTAACTACTACAAAAGATGGAACCATAAATACAAATGTCTCAAAATAGATTTTTTGTTTAGGAAAAACAAAAATCAATTTTTAATACGATTTTTCAAAGGCAGTCTAGTGAGCATGGTGAAAAAATAAATTATATGCTTTATTAAGCAAAATAAATAAACTTGCAAAAGAATGACATTTTATAACTTGAAAATAGTGCAAATGAAGACCCCATGATTTTCAAATTGAGCAATGTTTTTATCTTTCTTTCAGCGGGTAATAATAATTAACAAATCATCAGCATCACTGTTGCAACTAGCTGTATTTTAATGATAATCTTTAATTATTATTTTTTTTAAAGAATAGATTTATGGCATTTTGCGCTTAAAATAATTGACAAGTTACTTTTAATTGTGATAAATGTTGGATTTGTATATGTTGTCAATCAAAGAATTTTTGTGGCATTTAGTTTATTGCAATTGCACTGATCGCTTTGTTTAATTTTTATTCTTTGTAGAATAGAGAAAATTTATTTATTACAGTATAATCAAGCTTACTTAGCTTTTTTTTTTTTTAAACTGTTAAAACGCACGGTGCTGGGGAAAAACATCGGTTCATTTTTTGTACGATAAGTTAGGTGAATCAACAAAATGGCATTATGGTTTGCTCGTTCAGAGGAATATGATTAGAAGATTCACTATACTAGGGAAAAATCGTCCTTCCTGTCCTTCACACCTTTCCTACCAAGCTAATGGTGATGAAATTCGCTAAATTTTTGTGAAAAAACTATTAAAAACACCAGAATGAGATCCAAAAAAGGTTCATTAGAAAAACTGTACCCTGGACCCATCAAGAAGGCCAAATGATAATTTGAAAGAACTAACAACTTTTCTTTAAAAGCCAGAAGATTTCTGTAATATATTCAACTAGATAGAGATCCTAGATCCACACCTGGGTAACATTACATTAAACTGTATAAATTTTTGAAACATTTTAGAATGATTTTTGTAAATTTCAACAAAAACTTATTTTAATTGTTATGCATTGTAACAAACAAAATTTAATGCATTAGTATACTTTGAATTTGATTTTTTCCAAATTCGGTTTGACTCAATTGAGTTCATTCCCCTCCAGTGTCTCAAATGTATAAAAAAAAAATTTGGGCTGCCCAAATATCAAGTATCTATTTTCCGAAATTTATAAATGAGTATACAATTGTATCTATTACTATGTTTTATAAAATTTTTAAAAGGAACCATCAATTAATAGTGAGAATTAACATTTTTATACATGTTTAACCTCTTAACCTAAGGTTTGGTATGATTAGATTAGGTAGGGTTAGGGTATATTTTTCTGTGGAGCGGAGAAAATATTTGAGTATGAAGAGTGAGTTGTTTCTAGGAAGTTGCCCAGTTAGAATTTTTCATAAATTTTGAGTATCAAAAACGTAACAAAAAAGTGATTGCATGAATTTTCAATTGTTATAAAAAATTGGAACTCACTTTTTATTATATTTATAAAATTTTATCACATAAATTTGTATTCAGTTTTATGTTCCTTATGGTTACATTTAAGTATTAAAATGCCACATGAGAAATAAAATTGGTTGAAACATTTCGGTGCATTTCCATTATCTTGCTCACGTCAAAACGGTACTCTCCCTTAAATAAATATCTGAAAGAACTAGACAGCTCAACATTTGCTATAATTGTTCTGTAGCCCCTGGTTGCTTTTGCTTTTCAAAATTGTTCTAATTGGAAGTAAAATCATGGATCTGTCTATTCATTTAAATTTAATTTATATATTTGTTGACAACTATAAACTTCGAACTTATATTGGAATGGATTTTTACTTGAACCTAAAATAACTATATATGCCTGCACTGACAAAATAAATAAATAAAAAAAAATATAAAAAATGTATATATATAAAATAAAATCCCAGTTTTTCACAACCACAATATATAAATCCCATATTTAATATGTCTAAAAAATGTACACATTTCTTTCACTCACGCTTATAAAGTTTGAATTCATTTTTAAAAATTTAGAATACATGTTTAATATTACAAGGGTTATAAAATCATAATGTAAAAAGGCAGTAATATTTAATCTATTTTTCCCACTAGAAATTGCAGTATCAGTGCATGTAATCTAATCTTAATATTTGGATTCTAATTTAGAAGTTGTGCTCTTACTGAGGTTTCTAAGTGTCGAGGAAGAAGTAATTTTCCAAATTATTATTCAAAGAAAATGATATAAACACAAGGTATAATATAAACAATACAATTTATCTATAAACACGGTTTATTTTAAAGAAAGAATTTGTTTATTAATTTGTAACAGTTCATTGGTGCAATTATAGGTTTTTTCTATGAAATTAACTCTTTTTTGCATTAAATGAACCCTTTCTCATTAATTAATTTCAAATTAACATTTTTAGCTTGAAATTAACCTTTTTTAATTTCAAGTTAAGCCTTTTTTTGCATCAAATTAACCCTTTTTAATTTCAAATGAACTTTTTTTTAAACTTCAAATTAACCTTTTTCAATCTAAAATGAACCTTTTTTCATATTAACCCTTTTTAACTTTAAATTAACCTTTTTCACATCAAATTAACCCTTTTTAATTTCAAATTAACTTTTTACCTTTAAATTAATATTTTTCAATTTTTTTAGAGCATTAAAACTACTTAGAAATAAAAGAACATTAAGACTTTCTTTTTTATAGGAAATGTTTGGTTTCATGAAAGACCATATAAAATTAATTACAATGAAATTTAAAAATTATATAAAATTAAATGTAAAAACAAATTATTCTTGTTTTAATTTGAGATATTGTCCTAAATATAAAATTATTAGGCTCTTAAAATCCAATGTGACAATTATTACAATTGAAATTAACAATTATATAAAATAAAATATTCTTTCTTTAATTTGAGAATATGACAAATTGTAGTTTTTCAGACCAAAATTATTTTATATTTTCAAAAATTACGTTAAAATATGAATAATTTTTTTCAGATCCCAACTTTAAATTATTATTTTGGAAAAAATGCTCAAATTAACAATATAATCCTTTAGTTTTATATTTAATTTGTCATAATTTTTAATTATAATTGTAGCTAATCCACGAGGTCGTGTCTTACACAGTGTCCTCTCCGCCCAACGCCTCAACTTCATATCTCCCTGATCCTACATATTGGCCCACTGCTACTAACAAACGCCCAGATCTCCTAGACTTCTCCTTCTAGATCCTAACTCTCTTCACGTCACCACCATGTTTGTACATTGAATGATCTCTCATCGGATCATAGTCCTGTTCTATTAACTGTCGACACCTTTCCCATTCCAACTGCCCCTAGAGCTACATTAATACACAGTCCCATAGACTGGAAACAATTTGGAATACACTTGGAACAGAAAATAAGTCTCAAACCCCCCCCCCCCTTAAAACACACCAAGAAATAGACACTGCAATCGAAAAATTCACATTATGAATAACTGAATCCATCAGTGATTCAACAATTCACACACATCCACAAAACACATTAACACATTCTCAGCACATTAACATACCACTTTATATTCGCTTTCTTATACGATCAAAAAGACAAACTCGTAAAGAATGGCAAAGAACACCCTTCAGATAAACAAAAACTGAATAAATTAACACATCAGCTAACTGAATTGCAAGCATATCGCTCTGACCGATTCAGACAATTTACACTAACAATAGAAAACAAATCGCTCTGGGCGGCAGCTAAAGATCTTCTGTCTTACCACAAAATATCTACCCCGCTTTGCCAAGTCGACGGCAGTTGGGCCAAGTCAGATGAGGAAAAAGCGAATGCTTTTGCCTCTTACCTGAACACAGTGTTCACCCCACATGTCAACATCATAGACCATACTTATTCACAACTTATCAAGAAATATTTACACTCAACGATTCCATTATCCCTCCCTCCTAAAGTTTTTTCTGATGTTCATTCTACCGTGCGACACCTAAAATCCAAGAAAGCTCCAGGTTTTGATCTTATTACCCCAAAAATTCTTCAACACCTTCCCGAAAAAGCCATCATATTCATTACATACCTATTTAATTCTGTTCTTCGTACAACCTACTTCCCTATAGCTTGGAAGCACTCGTATATTCGAATGTTCCCTAAGCCAAAAAAGCCAACACATTGTACTATTTCATACAGGCCAGTAAGTGTACTACCTACTTTGGGTAAAATTTTAGAAAAACTATTGAAAAGAATTCTATCGATTCTAAATTCTCAGAACATAATCCCAGACTGTCAATTTGGTTTTCGCAACCGTCACTCAATTGTCCAGCAGTGTCACTGTGTGGTAGACATTATTTCCTCCTCCCTTGAGATGGGACAGTACTGTTCCGAAGCCTTTCTTGACGTAAGCCAAGCTTTTGATGTTTGGCACCCAGGCCTGCTGTTCATGCTCAGTGGCATCCTACCATCCACCTACTATCTCATACTGCACAGTGACTTCACTGACCAATTCTTCCAAGTCAGTGAAGGCCATTCCCTCTCTGCATATTTTCCTATCCTCAGGGTAGCGTTCTGGCCCACTATACCAAGTTTTCACAACTAACATGCCATCTCATCCCGAAACCATCTCATTCACATTTGCAGATGATACGGCAATTCTCTCTAGCAACTCCAACCTCGTCATACCTTCACTCTTCGTAAAAAGATATTCCTCTGTTTTCTTAAATAATATTCCCCTCCCCCAACTACGGACATGGAGCGCTACTGTGGACTGTACATTGACAAACACCTGACGTGGAATCCTCACACACGACTGAAACGTCAGGAGGTTATGACATGATACAGAGTTCTTGCACGACTTCTTGACAAAAATAAAAGGCTGCTTTACAACACCATAGTTAAGCCGATTTGGATTTACAGACTGAAAGTGTGGGGTTCAGCCAAACATTTCAACATCCACCGCATTCAAACAACCCAGTCTTTAATACCATGAAAAATATTTTTCATTGAACATTAACATTTATAGTTTTTATTGGAAAAATACTTGTTACCTACTTTAAAGTAGTTGTAATGTACTACAAATTAAAAAAAAATTATAATTAATTTTCATATGGTCTTTGAAACCTGTCAGTCAAAACCAGCCCTAATAGAGAGACCAGAATGATTATAAATTTGCCTAACCGCAGCAAGGTTAAAAAACTTTATCACAGTTCACAAAAGCTGCAATCTTGTTAAGCAACAAGGCAATAAATGTAATGCTAAATTGAACCTGAGTTTTAACACTATTATGGTGTTATGTTACTGACATCAACAATTTTTTGGCGCAAAAAGTATGTCCTCATGATTCAACTGTTGTTGATGAACTAAAAGTTGAATGAAATCTGTCGAGAAAACCAACAGAGTCGATCAACGTTTTAGTTGAAGTCATGAGTCATTGTCAAATTGAAGCATGTTTGGAAACATGTTCACATCACAGTCACTCTGCTCATGATTACTCATGATTTAAGAACCAGCCTGATGATGATGAGATTCGATTAATATAAAACTGAAAGAGAAAATGTGTTAAAGTCGTATAAATGTAAAAGAAATGGAAATTGCAGGACTTACTATTGTTATTTTGAAGAAAAAAAAAACATTCAATGATTTGCAAATCAAATTTTTCAATTAAAAAATTTCAATGAAAAACTACATATTTCATTCAATTTTAGTTGATCTATAAAAGTTGAACTGTGAGAACGTGCCTTATTGACAAAAATATATCTTAAAAATTTAATGACATTTTTTTTCAAAAAATGTAACGAGTAAAAGTCAATAACCGATAAAAATAATAAATAAAATAAAACGTCTTACTGTAATTTAAAGTCCAAAAACGTGCCATTTTCAATACTTTGAACTTGTTCTTTTTTTAACTTTGCATTAATTATGGATTAAAAAGATACTTATTTTTAAATTCTTTAACTAAACCATGTTTATATGATAAGTTTAAATATTTTAATTAATTAAAATTTTAATTTTATTGATAAATTTCTAAATTCATGTCTAACATTAGCCTATTCACTAAAAAAATCAACTTTTCATAAATTATTATCAACGTTATAAAATTAAACAATAAAAATTTAAAAACAACACAATTTTATACAAAATAATAATTTTGTTTCTTATTGCAAAATAGAATTACATGATTATTACAGATTTCACATATTATGTTGTCAATTTTACCATTTTTACTCTATAGTAATATTCGTGCAAATGTTAAATATGTGTTTAAATAATTGTTTATACCTATAGAAAATATTAGCTTGCCTAAGTGATAAAAGAAGGCGTATGAATATTTTTTATAACGTTAAAAGTGCATTAACGTGTTATTAAGCGACCGTTTATTTTAGTCTCAATTACAAAATTACCGAAAACTATTTTAGAATTTATGCCACATTTTATTATGTCTTCAACCTTTGTTTAGAAGTGTTGTAATAAATAAAGCATCGTAATGCTGGCTTATTTTAAGTCCAATTTATGGAACTGTGCTATGACATTTTATGTTGTCAAGTTTAATTCTAATTGTATTTAATTGCAGTAAAAAAAAAAAAAATAAAGACAAGTATCCTAAATCCGAATGAGAATAAGGCTGGAAGTAAATATTAACTGACACGATAAACAAAACCACACCACAATTATCTGGTTCGGTTTTATCGCGCGATGAACATCCGAGTTATTCTTCCTGCACACGGACGAGGTCATCCGCAACAACATCACTTATGTGCAGATAAATAATCCAGTACATGAGATTGAAGCATACAAAGCATACGGGGAAGACAATGCGGCTGTACTTGTCTATATCACTTGGTGTGATCCCGTACAGCTTGTTGTAGTCTTTCGTAGATTGTATAAGGTGTTGAGTAAGAGGCCCTGCCTCTTCGTCCGCTCGCCCGTTGATCGTGTTCTCGAGGGTTCCTCCTTTGAAATGGGCCTTCGGGTCGTGGACTTTGTATCTCACCTCCTGCCACCAATCAAAAAATCACTTAAAAGTGGCCGAGAAAAATAGTCACATTAAAAAAAAAACCAAAAATAAATAATTAAAAAAAAAGAAAAACATAATTTTTAAAAAGAAAATGCAACATTCCTTAAAAGATTGTACCGATATTACTATTTTAAGCTTGCTTGTTTAACAGGATGTTGACATCCAGTCTACCTCACCTTTATTCTTTCTGTTTTTTCTGTTTTTGAGAGAAAAAAAAGTTTTCATGCATGTCAATTTTGAAAACCACCCAGATGGGGTTTTGCATTCGTAATTCCTAGTTGATTAGCATTCTATTATCTTAAAACTACTGTTCTAATGCTTGGATCATGTGCCTTCACTATGTGAGATTTCAAAAATTCATGCGGATTATTAAAAATAAAAAAATAAAGATTCAAACTCATAAAATATGCATTTGCTAAGTTTTGGTTTATCACCATTGTACTTTCTTCTTTCCTTTTCATTTGAAGATTCTTATAAACTATTCCTTAGAGTATTTACAATATACATTAGAATGTTAGAACCATTTTAAGTTTCACACTGTCACCTCACACATTCTCGGATGTATACTGATTCTGACCTGAAAAGCCGTCACCTTAAAAAGATTCCCACCATACACACTACATGCACAAGATTCCCTCTCTTTACATGCACTCAAGCGCCAGTCGAAAGTAATAAAAGTGCTTAGTCTCATATTTGTACCGGTTCATGAAGATTGCTACAGCACTCGTCATCAGCGAGATAGTTTTTTTTCATTGTATTTACAAATGTACAATCGTCCCCATTGAGAGAATATATTGAATGGCAAGGCAGTCGAGCATTGAAAATGAATGTGAATATTGAAGTGACCATGGTTTGTAGGTTTGTAGTAACACGATGGCTCTTTCATCGACACGGCTGAATGTGAAAACATTAAAAAAGTGTTTGTTACATCTTTTATGTTTGTATACCACCATATATAAAAATACATTTCAATATACAACAAAACCAAATATTTATGAAATGATTTTTTTTTTTTAACTTAAGAAAGGATTTGAGTTAAATGAAGGAGTTATGATTGAGTAATCTATTCTACAATGATTTTAAGGATGATTTTGAATGGAAAGAAGAATGACACATGAAACTAGGTTTGTTACTTGGACTTATAACCATGAAGTTGAGTGTCATATAAGATTAAAAGATCAATTTTTGAGCTCCTCAACAAAATTACATCATTGTATTGTAAAAAATGAAAATAATCAACCCAACAATCTAGATTAAAACATAGGCTATGAAAGAATCAAAGGAAAAGGCGAGTGAAATTGGGTGGGTATGAATGAATGACAATTGAAAGATATGACATGAGAATGTCAAAATAAAAAAAGATATATGAAGTATGGCATGTACACAAGCTGAAATAAATGAAGAAAAAAAAAAACTACTTCCATGTAGTTATATTCATTGTATCTTTGTCCCTCCAAAGAGGTTAATATCTAAATGAAATGAATAAATTCTGAAAATAATACAATAATTAAAACCATTCTTTGGTTTAGGATTAAAAAAACCAAATTCATTGGATAACGCCCCCGGGGTTTTCTATATACTTACCGTCTGTTGCATTTGTTGCCTTCGCTCTGGATGGACCGGTTTTGGAGGAGGGAGCGTGGCTGCATAGATGCTTGTCGGATCCCTCTGTTGGAGCAATGAGCCAAGCAACAGTGCAACAAAAGTAAATCTTGTAAGCCGGAGGAAAAAAAGGTTACATTTTATAAGAATTACCACCAAGACTCTTTCATACTTTTGCACAATCTCATTCAGATATCACATCTTTCAATTGATTCAATAATAACCCTGGGCGGTATTTTCCAGTATTTATTTTCAAACGGAAGGAATATTTGTTTTGCATAAATACTTGTTCGTATCTCGAATTAAAAAATCCTTCGATATTTGGAATATTCATTCCTCAAATTAAAAAATGCTCCAATATCTGGAATATTCAATCAAGTTGATGAAACAGAAAGTCATTTCTGATATAAAATTGTGTTTTCGCCGTATAAATTTCAAGGCTGGGAACTGGTTAAAGCAAATTAATACTAAAAAAATAAATTGATTTCACTAAAAGCCTTAGCCATAGCATATTTCCTTTTTCCTAGTTTGATTATATATTAAAGAAAAAAATATGCAAGCAGAAACATGAGTTACTTCCAACCTGGAAAGAAACCTCAACAACTTTTCTACCTATAAAAGATTATTTTATTGTTTGTGCAAAGACTCATTTCTCTTTCTGAGAACCTCTACCTAATTTGCAATCAGAAAAATTGAATAAAAAATCTATAACTTATAACAAAAAGCTAATTTCAGCATTTAAGTTTAACAAATTATTTGGATAAAACATTAAAAACAACTTTCAATAAACAAAATATATACTGCAAAAATAAAATTATGATTCTTGCAAAAAGTGCCATAGGTTTATTAATAAAAAACAAAGCGAACAAAACTTTTTTTTTTTTTTCACGAGTCAATTATATTGTTATAATCAATGAAAACATTTTAACAAAAAATAAATAAAATATAAAATTTAACTGTCTTACCTGTATTTTTCTCTTGAAAATATTCATAACCGAGAAAAATGTCTATATAAAAAAGAAACTCCACTAATTGGAAAACAAACTAAATATCTAAGAAAATTGGATTAAAATTGAATAAAGTGAAGGCTGAAAATAAATTAACTTACAAAATTATGGAGACAACGACCTAAGCCGGTTTACATAATCGATGGTCACATCACGAAAAGGGATCTTGTGAGTTTGTGTCACAAAAGATGTTCGGACAGTTTCACGATTCTCTTCTTTGGCCAAAGAAAACCGAAATCACCAAAATACGATTGTACCGTTCGACGCACTGCTATCCTTCCGAATTTTAATCATAACTCGATGTTGGGTTGATTTAACTCCTTGACAATAAGTACTGATGGTATCACACACAAAATAAAATACATCAAACACATGTCACGTCAATATTCAAAGTTCCAAGTGTATATTGTTATTTCTGATCATGGAACGTAATAAAAAGGCTGAACCACAATCAAAATATTGGATATAATATAAAAATTATATAAATGGTTTCTGCATAATTCTTATGTAGGTACACTAGACGCTAAAATTCTTGAACTAATTATCTGCTTGAGAAAATGTTAGAAAATTATCACCTGTAAATGATATTTTTTCGGACAAAACCCCAACTTCTGGAAATATTAATGCGAGAACAAAACCACTTACCGTCTGTTGCATTTGTTGCCTTCGCTCTTGGTGGACTGCTTTTGATGGAGGAAGAGTAGCTGCATAGGAGGAGATGATTGACGGGTCCCTCTATGGCCGAGCAACAGGCAAGCAAAAGTGCAACAAAATTAAGTGAATATGTGAAATTATAAGCAGTGTCATTTTTTTAATTGTTGTATGTTTTTTGTATTTGAACACAGTTCAGTCTTAGTCTGAGTTTGTGGGCCTGTAATAAATAGGCTGTGTTGGCCAAGCGTGTTTCGTGATTTAATTCATATGTGTCTAATAAAAAGCATCGATTCTTCATGAAAATATCAGTATCTTTCTATACTTATTTGTTTATAAACAAAAACCTAACGTTTATACAAAATATGCACAGTAGAGTTAGGTCCTGTCCTAATGAGAAAGTGATAAAAACTGAAACGAACTATTTCATTAGTCTATTTTACAAGTACCTGAAAATATACAAACAGGGTTTTTTTATGTATATTTTATTTCAGAGGGGCAATTATTTCATACTATTTCAAAAGAAAGGTACGGTAGGGAAAGTTGCCATTGAAAAAGATAAACACACTGGTCAATGGAGAATTTCACACCAAAAATCCTTTCATTTCAAGGATATAATATTTAAAAAAAAAAATAGAAACAATATAAAAAAATAGCATGCAAAGATTGTCTTTTAAGAGAAAAAATTGGAACTTTTGTGAACCTTTGATTTTGACCAATAGGAAAATTTTACAAAATCAAGTGCTGATCTGTCTGATGTGCTTGAAGAATAAAAGCACAGATTGTTCCAATTTAATAGTCATTGGTTACATAAAACAGCTATAATAAAATATTGAAATAAGCAACGAATAATCATGAGTGTAGCATGGAGTTGTGCTATTGTCAAGCAAACAAACTTAAAATGTACGTAATCAAATAATTTAATACATGAAAAAAAAATTTTTTTTCTTGGACAGTATTTTTATGACCCGACCTGACTAAAACATCAACATTAATACACCACATTATAAGCGAAAGCCTGAGCGGGATTTCTTGCGTCAGGTTTCATGTGCAGTAGAAGCGGATTTCTCCGGTTCCTGACAGTGTTATTCTTTTATGGTTTGTGTATTTTTTTTTGACAAAGCTCTGCAAAAGGTGTGAAGACGAGGTTTTTTTTATCTACTCACCATCTGGACCTGATGTCCTTTTTTCCTCTTAATAAACAAACAAACAGAAAGAAAATTTTTCATTTACACCGTCGGACAAGTTTGAAAGACTAATTTTAAAATTTATGTCAAACCCTAGATGGCAACTCACCCTATTACCTATTTTGTTTCTTTGATTCTTTAAAAATTTGGGTCTTAAAAAAATATATTGTTGCAAACCTTAGTATCCTGGATAGAAAAAGATTTTTAAAAAAGGTAAAAAAAGAACAGTTAAAAATGTATTGCTTTTTGTCAGAAAACATTAATAGTAAAATTTTATTGTTATTTTTCTATAAGGTTCATGTTTAAAAATATTTTTTATTATGAATTTAATATTGTCTTAATGTGGCTGTGAGTGTTTAAGGCAGTTCCATGATTTATTTTTTATTTTGAACATTGCAGGTATTTTTAACCCATCTTCAGTAACTGTGATTTCTATTTTAAATTTATATAATTAACATGATCTGAAAAAAAAGGATGTGTTTCAATTTAATTTTTTTTTGGTTGAAATGCAATCATTTAATGAGGATATTGCGATCTGCTTCACTGCATGTTGTTATTTGATAGTCTTTTTTGTGTATAAAACATTACATTACAGCCATGGATGGGCAAAACATCCAAGACAAAAATGCATCTATTATTATTTTCGTAATATTCATTTGTTTTACGAGTTGACACCAGTTTAAGGAGGCCTGGATGAACAAACAACCAATCAGAAAAAAATTTAGGGGGGAGTTTTATTATGAATTTAATATTGTCTTTTTATTATTAGTACTAATTTGGTAGTTTACATTTGATTTTTATGGTTAAGGACAGATCATTAAGTAGGCCAGGATGAACAAAAACCAAGCAGAAAAAATTTAGAAGGGAATTTTATTACTAATTTGGTAGTTTCCATCTGTTTTTTATGGGTTAAGGACAGATCATTAAGTAGGCCAGGATGAACCAAAACCAAGCAGAAAAAATTTAGAAGGGAATTTTATTACTAATTTGGCAGTTTCCATTTGATTTTTATGGTTAAGGACTGATCATTAAGTAGGCCAGGATGAACAAAAACAAAGCAGAAAAAATGTAGGAGGGATTTTTAGTATTAATTTGGTAGTTTTCATCTGGTTTTTATGGGTTAAGGACAGTGCAAGGAGGCCTGGATGAACAAAACAAAGCAGAAAAATTGTAGGAGGGATTTTTAGTATTAATTTGGTAGTTTACATCTGGTTTTTATGGGTTAAGGACAGTGCAAGGAGGCCTGGATGGGATACAACCTAGCAGAAAAAAACTAGTGAAGATTTTATTATTAATTTGGTAGCTTTAATTTTTTAATGGGTTAATGACAATACGTTACAGGATGAACAAAAACCAAGAAGAATAAATTTAGGAGGGAATTTTAGTACTAATTTAGTAGTTTCCATCTGGGTTTTATGGGTTAAGGACAGTGCAAGGAGGCCTGGATGGGATAGGACCTAGCAGAAAAAAAAAACAGTGAGGATTTTATTATTAATTTGGCAGCTTTCATTTGTTTAATGGGATAATGACAGTGTATTAAATAGGGTCAAAAGAGCCAGAAGAAAAAATGTAATGGATATTTTATTATTAATTTTGTAATGTTCATTTGGGTATTTTATGGCATAATGACAATACAGCAAGCAGGCCAGGATGAACAAACCACCACGCTAAAAAATGTATGAGGGATTTTATTATTAATTTGGTAGTCTTTATTTGGTTTTTAAGGGTTAAAGACAGGGCAAAGAGGCCTGGAGGGCCAAAAACCCATGATAAAAAAAAAACATTTTTGCTGGGTTATTTGTCAATCCAGGTCTTGTAAAATTAGGGGGATATTTTATTATTAATTTATTAGTCCTTATTTTGTTTTTTTGGTATGGAAAGTACTTTAATAATGCCTGGATGTACAAATAACTCAGGGGAAAACAACGAAATACTACCAGGAGATTTAATCTTCCAAAAAAAAAAAGATAAATTGGAACAAACACATCCAACAAACTTCAATTAAGGCAAACAAAAATCTTTGGACGTATCTTTATGTATTTATCAGATTTACTAAATTATGGGTTAAAAATATACGAAAACGTCAAAATAGACAGTTAAAAACGTAAAAAATCGTAGTACTATCCTTAAACCATAAAAAGTAAAATTTTAACCGTTATGATTAGATTATTATTTAGAATTTATTACTTTTTTTAAACTTTTAAAATAATTAAAATTCCACGGTGGTTTGTGCTTCTTACGTGAAAAGCCTTTGAACTATTAATTTGAAAAAAAAAATTGTTTAGCCAAACTTGATTACAAAATTGAACATAGGTGATTTTTTTTTATAATACAATTGTTCTAATGAAGCGGTCAATGTAAGTAAATACATAAATAATAATACTATTAATTAATTATATGGATGGTTAAAATAACGGCTTTGCCGCATACTCACAGTCTGTTTAGGGGCGTGGTCGGGGTCGCCACCTGGGGGATGGGGTTCCGTCTTCTGATTTTGCTCCTGAGCAAGCTTCTGGATTGCCAAGAATCTGTTTTTCCTCATCTGTATCCGTTTCGCCATGTACCCTACGGTGGCGTATTCTGAAAATGGAAAACGGCCGGGTAAAAGGATAATTTCCGTCGAGAGTTGTTTCAATGATAAATGAAATATCCACTGCCCACCCGCCGCTCGTCAGTCGTCATCGCTGTATTCGCAGCAATTAATTCTGCCAGTTTGCATTTGCATGCTAACGCAACTTGGGATCGATAAAATTTCAATTTGGGTTAAAGCGAATAAATTGGGTTTTAATGTAACGCCGGAATAACGATATAAATAAATGCTGGATGCGAATCTGATGCATATTAGCTACGGCATGAGGTATTTACATATTTGCGATTTCAAACGGGACAAAAATATTATTGTCCGAATGTATGTTTATGAAAAATACTCGTCAATCAATTAACTCTGTTTTACTAGAAAACATAAAGTTAAAAGCTTGACAATTCGATTACAATATTTTATTTCTACTTAACCACGAAAACACTTAACCCTGTCGAATCGTTGAATGATTCTCTTACAAAATGACTTGAGTCGCTTTTGACTTCGGTGTACGCGTAATAATTTGAAATTAAACGAAAACAAATGTAAGATTTTGAAGTTCAGCAAGAAAAAAATAATTCATGATTACGACCAATTCGTTATCGAAGGTTATCACATTGACGAGGTAGAAACTATCTCGGATCTCGGGGTTATTTTCAATAAGAATTGTGATTTTCCGGACCACATCCATGCCATTACAAATAAATAGTTTAAAAATTTAGGATTCGTACTCAGGCAAACTGCTATCTTTAAGAATAAAATAATGGTTAAGAATGGAATAAGTGGTAGAGCAGCGGCGTATCTAGCCGAAGATCGTGGGTTCGAATCCCGCTCGTGACACTGACTTTTTTTATCCCAACTTAAAACCTTAATTAATTGATTGATATTAATTGGTCAAGCGTACCACGAAAAATAGTGAATTTTCAATTCAATTCAATTTTCAACTAAAAACCTTAAATTAATTACAATACTAGATTAATCCCATTCTCCTTTCTAACACCGTCACCACTTTTTTCCCATTTAGTACATTTCTGCATTTTGTTTCAATGTAATTAAAGATAAGGGTGTAAAAAAGCCCAAGAAAGCTTATTAAACGAGCAAGTTGTTATGAAATTTTCCAAGACCTACCTTGAACTTTTCCAATGGTCACAAATTTATTTTTTTTACAAATTTTACGAATGGACAAGTTTTTGAAAGATTTAGTGTTTGTTTTTTTACCAAAAACTAAACTCAAAGTTCAAAAAGGGTTCTTAAACAAAATTTAATGCACTTTTCAATATATTTTTGGGTTTTTCAAAAATGAATAGTTCATGAGCTACGAGTTGATTTATTGCAAAAACCATAGATAGTTGAAAAAACATAAAATATTGAATATATGGGAAAGGGTTTGGAATCAGACCATGGTTCATACGAACTTTTCTGTCACTCTGGATGTGTGAAATTCACTGGCAAAGTTTGTGACGCGAGTAGCCTGACTCCCTAAAGTCGGGCTTTGGGATCCACTTCTCTAAGTCTGCTCTATTTCAATTAGAAATTTTGGGTCGTGTGAGACGGCTTTCTTTACATTTCGATGCAATACTGGTACAGGAAAAAGGAGTTAAAATATCCTTGAGAAGGAACATATATATGAATACACGAGAGGACCAAAATGCATTGTTTTGCAAGAGTAATTAAGTACGTAATTTTAGATTTTAGAAATAAACGGGACGTGAATTAGCGAAATTGTTCTGTATGTAAAAATATGTTTTTTAAAAAGAATTGAACAGGCGCGATAACACAGTAATAAAGAGTCTTGAACCTGAATTACACCTGCACACGCTTGAATTTGTACTAACTATAAAAATCCACCGAATTATTATATACACAGGAAAGAAATTATTTATAGTGTTTCTCCATGCAACCGTTATTCACGGATTGAAATGGAGATTTATGCCCGGAGGAGTAACGAACGATAAAGCAGGGATAAAGGGGAAATCGATCCAAATGTAAAACATTTACTTGACCACTGTAAATTTGTTCGTATTTATTTTTTTTTGTGAAAACATGGCAGCTTTGTTTTGGTTTTCTTATGTTAAAAATGAACCTCTGGTTTTCTTTCTATGAAATTAATTAGAATTATTATTATAGTTCACTGTTAGCCACCTTTAATTTACTTACTCTACTCCAATATAAAAGCATAAAACCTCAATCAAAGAAAATTTGCAATTTGAGAAGAAGAAATTTCATTTTGTGCCTAAAAATACTAATTATGTAAGCAAAAGCAAATTTTTAATTTAATTAGTATAAAAGTATAAATTTGACGTATAACCCAAGGGTAAAATTAATTATGAGTCAAATTGCTAAAGACGTGAATGGAACCAGCCTCCCTGCTTTCCCCTGACATCGGTCCGATTACAAATTATTGATTGTTTTGTGTAATTTCATATAAATTCAGGATAATCCGATGCTGAATCAATTTCTCCCCTTTGCTTAGAGTTAATAGGTAAACCGTGTAATGGTATGAGTAGCAACTTTCTACCTCTATAATTCAAGTTATGATGGTGTTTACAGACTTTTTTACACCCTACATAAAGGTAGTCTTCTCTAAAGGCTTCTATGTTCGTGTCATTTGTGTTATACGATAGCGTAAATGTGAACAAAATTCTTAGTCTCCGAAAAACCGACGTTTTAATAAAAAATCCAAAAACAAGAAATTTTATGAAACACAGCATATTGTGCCGGAGATCTCTGTTCTTTATTGCTCTTGGATATCTCCCTCAAAGCTGTTTTATAGGAGAAGGGTTAAATTAAACAAATGCTCCAATTTAAGTCCTTGGCATGTAATCGGCGCGTGCAATCTTCGAGGGATGAACGTTATCGCTGGGAGATCTTGATGGCGGTGGATAGATGCTGTTCTTCTCGGCGGGGGTCAATCTCCAACTCTGGTGATGGACATAACTGAGTACTCCGGACGCAGAACTGCAATGATGAAGTCAGATTTAACAACTTATCATGTCACCTCACTCTCACGCCATCTGACTGATTCCTGGCCTTTCTCAGTTCTCATTTTCAATCTGCCTCTGATTCTCTGACTCAGTCGATCTCCAGTGCAGGCCAGTTTTACATCTAGCTCAGTCAAGGGCGACCTCGTGTTGCGAAGCTTCGATGCCGAGACCTGGAACGGCTTGAAAGCTGGGTTCTTATTGACGAGGTACCTATGATGGCTTGGAACATAAGGCTTTTTCTTTTCTTACTTTTGGGAGGGGAGTGGACAAAGTTTAAGAACATGTTCCTTAGTCAATTTAAAAACTGAAAATTATAGATTGATTTTAGATTAACTAACGTTGTCGCTGGTAGATCTTGATGGCGGTGGATAGATGCTGTTCTTCTAATGACGAGCTTCTCGGCGGGGTTCAATCTCCAACTCTGGTGATGAGCATGAACTGAGGACACTGGACGCAGAACTGCAACGATGAAGTCAGATTTTATCAGATATCATGTCACTTCACTCTCACGCCATCTGACTGATTCCTGGCCCTTCTGCTTTTCAATCTGCCCCTGATTCTCCCACTCAGACAGTCGGTATCCAATGCAGGCCAGTTTTATGCTCAAGCTCAGTCAAGGGCGACTTCGTGTTGAGAAGCTTAGATGCCGAGAACTGGGACGCTTGAAAGCCAGGTCCTTATTGACGAGACTTTGAACGTTACCGTGATGGCTTGGCACTTAGGGTTTTTTCTTTCTTTTTTTTGGGGAGGAGGGGAAAAGTTGAAAAAACATGGTCCAAAAACCAAACCCCAACAAACTTGAAAAAACGACCTTAGCCAATTTAAAAATTGAAAATTATAATTGATTTTAGACTTATTTAACCTAGACTTTTTATGTTGGATATGTATATTGGGTCAAATAGGCAAACCTTGTGCTGAAAGTTTGTTAGCCCCCAAGCTCTGAGATTATGATGACGGTGTGTGATAAGGATTTTGGACAAAAAACTGCACTAAAATATGACGGATGATTTGTAACCCTTAACAAAATGAAAATTTGTTGCTTATCATCTGGCATCAATTTAAGCCGACTTTCAGGTATAGGCCCTTGGTTGTTCCTTTGTTTGCCGAATCAATTTAAAGGAGCTTATCCTCGAAACTCCTTTAACTCGGGTTCGGTTTGCTCATTAGAAGAGCTAAGCTGTTGAACTGTCCCGATACGTGGTTGAGAAGTCCTCAACAAACCTGTTACGCCCCTTCCTGGCTTTTGCGATTCAATCGGACAGGCCCGTTTGTTCGTTGTGCGTGTTGTAATTGAAACAGTATTTCAAGAGAGATAAGGTTGATTCAGATTAAACAGTTTAGCTTTTGTTTCCGGCCCCTCAGGAAACAGCCGAACCGATGACAATAGACCAGGTCTTAAACAAGCTAGGTATCGATTTATCCGATGTCAGTGCCAGATCTGTTGGCTTTAACGTTTCTGAACTGGCTATTTCAACAAAGCTCGTTAATACGAAACGGCCGCAAGAACCACATTAAATTCAAATTCCGTCGATAATCACTCTTGACTTTCCTATTATGGAGGGAATACAAAAATACATTTCTATAACTACTAATAAGTGATACATTAATACATTTTTAGTATAAGAATACATCTTGATCTAATAGTTTTTTCTTTCAAAAAGAAATATCATAAACGGGTAAAATAACAGATTTATCTTATGATCATTTATCATTTAACGCTGAATAAAACCATTCTTTAAATGTCAAAATAACTAATGACGACGAACGATTAAACCGATGGCTCCTTTCTATCTAGTAATAATAGTAACAATAATAAGAATTTAAGGGAAAATAATAACAATAAAGAATGTCTTGAGCGATAATCACAAACTGAACACTTAAAAGCTTTTTTATGTAGTAAAATGACCTAATAATATTGGTGACCTAAGATGTCCATTTTTGGAGGGAGATGAGGTGTTTGTACAGAAAATTCACTATTTTTCGTGGTCCGCTTGACCAATTAATATCAATCAATTAAT